AAAATAACTTTTTTTTTAGGAAATAACTTTCAAATTCAAATTCATTTGAATTTGGAAATTTTAAAGACTTTTCCAAATTTAGAGGGATTTAATTTAGGAAGTACTTGAATGCCTAAGTTTGAAAATTTGAATCCAAAAGTGAAGGGGGAAAGATGGCCTCTGGGCGGGCCCCCCCCCCCTACCCTGCCCCCCCCGCCTCGGGGGGGGGGGGGGGGGGGGGGGAGGGGGGGGGGGGGGGGGGGGGGGGGGGGGGGGGGGGGAGGGGGGGGGGGGGGGGGGGGGGGGGGGGGGGGGGAGGGGGGGGGGGGGGGGGGGGGGGGGGGGGGGGTGTGGGGGGGAGGGGGGGGGGGGGGGGGGGGGGGGGGGGGGGGGGGGGGGGGGGGGGAGGGGGGGGGGGGGGGGGGGGGGGGGGGGGTGGGGGGGGGGGGGGGGGGGGGGCCGATGGTGAAAAAGGGGCTGGGGTGGTTTTCACGCCAAGAAGAGAAAAGAGGAGGAGTTTGGGGGCGGCGGTTAGGAGAAAGGAGGTGAAATTAGTCTGGAGGAGAGAATGGACAACCAGAGCCCGACAGAGGCTCCTGCTGTCCGATGGGAATATTAACTTTGCCCTCACCTAGGGACTATCAAGCTCTCCACAAGAACAACTCTCACAAACACAAAGTTGGTGTAGAATTTCTTTTTCATCATATCATCGTTCTCTGTAAAGAGGAGAAAGGGGGCTATAAATAGGCCAAAATACAATACACAACTCCTTAGAAGACGGAAGTGCCCCTTGGGGGTCACAGATTTGACATACTCCCTCAAAGTGAGTGTAAAAATGAAAAAAAATGCATAAATAAATTAAATACAAATAATAACTAAAAAATAAATGGTCCTCATGGTCAGTAGATTACTTCTAACCTCTTCTCTGATAAACTTTTCACGGTCGGATGTCCTCATAATGGACACTTTTGGCTGAGGTTGTCTTGAGAGGATCGCCAGCCTGAGATAGAGAGGAGTGGGCCATTGGAGATAAGAGAAAAAGAAAAAAGAGGATCGCCAGTTTGAGATAGAGAGCAGTAGGCCATTGGAGATAAGAGATAAAGAAAAAGGGTGTTACGTCTGCTCTGATACCATATAGAAATGTGTATTCCAGCAGCTATACACAATGACTAAAATATGTAAAACGAAGAACAGTAACCGGAAATGAAAATGAAGAGGAAAGCTATTTCCATGTAAACTTGTTTTTCATTTCATGTCATTTGTTTAATAGTTGGAGTACATGATATATATAGAAACAAGTGTATACAGCTTTACACATGTAAGGTTGAGATTCTTTGTGTTAGTTATAAACTAAGGGTTGAGATTTGTGTGTGTAAAGCTGCAACTTTGCAGTGTTTGTAGTGGCTGCAGCTTTACACAGTATTGGTAGTGATTGTCATTTTCACACTCATCAACCCCAAATCCTGCATTGGAGCCTCTTGCATTTGGTTTGTCCCTTTTTTGTGGTCAAAAGCTCTATTGGGCTGAAGCATTTATACCGTGTTCTTGCTTAAAAACATTTTTTGGAATACAGTTTTTTTTCTTTGTTGTAATCACAATTACAAGCTCCCACCAAAAATGTAAATGAATAAGTTTTTGTGCACCAACTGGGAATGTTCCAACCACCGTAGCAAGGGAGATTAAATTTATCCCAAAGCTGAATTGAAGTTTAGTCTCTTCCGTCCAATGATGTAAATTTATATTTAGGGTTTTTTATTTGACTTTAGTTGATGTTTTGTTAGTATTTTATTTGATTTTCAGAATTTAGTTTTACTTTTGGGTTAAACATGCCTATGATGTTCTGTGTGAATGGATTATGCTCTTTAATGTTTTAGCCTTTCTGCCCTGCGGCTTGGTTCGGTTCTTGTGCTGGTTTGGTGCAATTCATTCTATTTGTTGTATACTTGACTGGTTGTTGGTACCTATTCATTGTTATTTGGTCCTTCACTTAGCCGTGAAATCTAAATTTGGCGCATTGACGTTTTGGGCCAAATTGGGCCATGTTCTTCTTTGGGCTGTTAATTTACAACTCTATTGTTTGGATTTTCTTCAAGTATGCTGGTTTGATACTGTTGCATACTGTAGCTTGACATTTGTTTTCTGATATTGTAGCAAGTAGGATCTGTGGCTCTTTAACTCTTGTTACGGGATTAGGAATTGTAGCTTTTGCGAGATTTCACATTTTCTGACCGCTGACTTGGGGAAGTTCAATGATTGTAGATGAAATTACCGAGACTTGTAAATTTATTGATTGCTTGCTGAAATTTCTTCTTTCCTCAAATCTGTGTGCTTGTTGGATGTACGTTGTTTAGTTCAGTGCAAACATTGCTTTAACTTGTAAGGAATGTGTTCAAGATTTTGTGCATCTTATCCTAGACTAATAATAGGAAATCCTATGCACTAAGATATCCTGTTTCATCCATGTCGATATAGATTTAATTATTTTTAGTCTTAATATGCATGTAATAAAAGTTCCAATACGGCAATACTGGCCATAATTGTCAAGGTGAAGACTTGTATATGCACTTCTTCCATTCCCTTTGAAATGATCTATTAATGATTGCGTTTAGGATCATGAATTCTGGATGGAGGAGATGCTCGAGAGAAAGGTAGAAGAGTGCACAATATAACTTTTTAACTTTGTCTGATGAGTACATCAGCAGGAGATTCCAGCACGTCTATCATTGGAGGAATCATAGATCGACGGCTACGATTCAGAGTCTTTATTTATGAAGTATTTTATGTATTATTTTATTTTGTTTCTTAGTCTTTACCATTGTATCCTTATGAGGGCTTTGTTCATGATGTAGTCAAAGGGCGTTTTAGTCTTTGCATCTCTTGTTATTTTAAGAACTATATATAGAGGTCTTCACTATTGCATGATGATGATTGATGAATAAAATTTCAGCACTTATTACTTCTCTTGATTGTGAGCTCTTGAGAATAGAGAGAACCCTAAGAGAGGGCCAAGCAATTCCCTTTAGCCGCCGGTGGATTCCGGGCTCGCGGTTTGTATCCGTTCTTATTTTCAACCTCACTTTTCCTTCAACCCATACGACTGGCCACCCACACCATCCCCCTAAAATCCAGCCACCCTCTCCCCTCAATCCATCCCCGCCAGCCTCCTTCCCCTCTCCACCTCAAGCCGCTGGCCCCTCCTCCCATACCCACCAAACCATACAACCCCTAGCCTCATCGCCACCCTCTCCCTCCACCGAACCTAAGCCCAGCTCCTCCTCAAGCCGCTGGCCTACCAAATCCAAGCCTAAGCCGCCGGCCCCTCCTCCTCCAAACATTTGTTTCAAATTCAATTGGTCTCTTAAACACCTTCCTAATATATCTTATTATTAATTTGGAAAGTCTATTACTTTGAATTCAAATGATATTTGAAATTCAAAACCTTTTCTAATTAGTAAATCTATTTTAGGAAACCCCCTAAATCACTCCTAATACGAAATTAAATTAGAATTAATTTCAATTTCAACATTCATTGCACCTAGGCACATTCATTGAATGTAGACAAATCCCTTCCCCTTTCTCTTGGCCGGCCCCCTCTTTCCTCTCTCGCCTAATTATTCCCTTCTCCAATTGTAACTCAAATTTAGGAGATAATAACTACCCCTCCCTTCCTCTTTCCCCTTTTGTTTTGGAATTCAAATTTTGAATTCTTCCATTCTAATTCAACCAAAATTTGAAATAAAATTTCAGATTCTTGAATTATTTCCACTTCCCTTTGTAACCCTAAACTTGAAATTAAAAGGGTCTCTCCTAGTCTTGGCCGAAACCCCTAAGCCCCCCTCCCCTCCATTACCTCTCTTCTCCCTTGCTTCACATACCTCCCAAGAAAGAAGATACACTACCACTTAGCCTACTTCCCCCATGAATGTCCGATTCCGAGCACGATCATGGATTCTTGTATGATTTTCAAGGACGAGTAAATATTCCTCGGTCTCCCTTCTTCAACCTCAACTTGGAGATCGACGACACCTTCGACGACTACTTCGACCAAATCCTTTTCACCTTGACGACTGCCATCGACAAACACCAAATCTCCGGATAGTGGCGAGTTATTGGACATCCACCAACTTCTTCCCTTCCGGCTAACATTTCGTTGGGAAATATTGCAGGCATTTTCAGTCTTTTGGTGGCATCTTTAAGTTTGCTAAAATTATTCTTTCGTTAAAACCGCCTCAAGAGTGAGAGTGAGGGGAACTCATGGTGAAATTTCTATTTGTTAAACGGTGGATTTCTATTATTTATGCCTTTAGCTTTACTATAAATTTGTTGTTATTTTAAATTGTCATGATAATCTTTCTTGTAGCTGCATGGCAAAGCACAACTACAACTAAGAAATACTATAATCTAATATGGTGAATTATTAATTTTAAAATTAGCAAGTTGAACATATTTTTATTAAATTCCTGCCATTCCTATTATATTTCACATCATTGTCCCATTAATGTATTTGCATTTTTATGTTTCTTTTATTAGTGTAGGCTATTGCGTTGCATGTTTATTGCGATTTCTAGTGAACTTTCTCCAATCTGCTATCTTCATTGTATTATTTACTCACCCATGACTAGTTGCCTTCATATACTGAGGCTGCAAAAAGTAAACTCGATCTATCCTTAGTACAATTCATCTTCTTTATGCTTAAGAGTGCGGATTACATTATTTTTTTCGGCACAACACATATTTCTCATGGAAGCATGATGGGAAAAAAAGAAAAATGCAGATTCTATTAGTTTACCTAATGTTGTTCTTCTATAATGTCAACACTCATGCTAAATTCTCAGTTAACATCCATTATAAATGATGTTCCTAACAGAAACTATTAATATCACATGTATTCATGATATTTGGATCAAAGCTAACTCATATTTCTTCTGCCACAGCTGTAGTTTTGTGTTTTAATATTCCAAATATGGAGGACAATTTAGTTTGTGATTTCACCAACTGAAGTTTTACTCACGATTTAACAGGCTCTCATTTCTTTAGATCCTACTCGTGCAAGGGATGATCCAGTTATAGTAAAAAATATTCCTTATTACAAGGCAAAGAAAATACTTGAGGCGGAGGTCATGAAACTTGAAGTCCCACCTCGGCCTAGCAACTGGGGTGTAAGATTTATGATTTTGAATAATTTCTTAGTTGTTCTTTTGTTTAAATATTACTTACGGTATGAATGAAAGAGCGGTGCCCTGGTTTGCTATTAACTTTTTATTTTGGTTACATTTTTGGATGCTTGGAGTTTGAATGAAAAGAAATGAGAAAAAAAAAAAAAGATTGAAAAACTTAAATCAATGGCTATAGATTCATAATCAACCCATAACCTATTGGGACTTAATATTAGTTCCTTCACTTGAATTTGAAGAAAGCCTTTCTTTTCCATCCATCTGAATTTTAGTTTCTTAGAATTGTGATAGTTTGACTATTGCATTGAAACTATGATCATTAAAAAAAATAATGAAAAGGAATGGATACTAGCCTATGTATCATTTTGCTTTCATTTATGGTAGGAAACCCTTGTAGTTCTCAAGTAAATCTTATAAAAATCTGCATTTGAGCAAGACTTCACCCAAACACCCAATCAACTCAGGAAAAACAGCAAAAAGTTGATAGGAATTGATGAAAAACTGAAAGCAAATGACAAGATATAATTGATCCTCTATTCGAGAGGAGGAACCTTCTCTCCCAACTCTCTAGACGTCGCTAGAGTCCATGAACACCAAGGAAACCCACTATTACAACAATAATCAAGATGAAAACCCTATTCCTAGCAAGAGAAACTACTTAAAGAAGAAAACAATAAAGAAATCCCTAACAACTCTTAATTTTGAGTTTTTCCTTCCAAAGCCTTCACTAATTACAACCATTACTGATGGGGACATCAGTTGGAAAGTCTACCGTCGACGTGGTCGTAGATCTACGGCCACGATCTGCCCGATGTATTTTTGATTTTAGTTTGGTCATTTTATTTTGATGTATTTTATTTCTGCATTTTTTCCCTTTTTACCCTTGCTTGAGGGATTGAGTCTTGTAGCCCCTCGAGGGTATTTTAGTCTTTTATTTTATGTCTTTGTATTAGGCTATTTATAGCATTCATCTTGTACTTTTGAGGGTAATGAATAAATGATAAAGAAAATTTCCTGCATTTGTCTTCTTGAAGCTTTTTTGAGAGCTTGAGAGAAAGTTGTGAGTTTGGTGGAGCCTTGGAGAGGCCACCCGTCGTACCCAACAGTCACCACCGGTGGCTCTTGGTTTTCCCCTCCTTCCTTCTTCCCCAATCCTCCACCGTCGGCCCTTTCCACCACCACCCACATAACCCCTCCCACCAAAGCTCACTTCAACCAACCACAAATCCAAATCCTTCTTTCCCCCATTAGATTTTTCCTATCCACTCCCCATGCCATGTTGACCGCCGGCCACCTTGCTTGCCTCCATAGGTGATGAATTAATGTCACCTTAATGTTTACCTATTGAGTCCAAGTTAGTTGGGGAATTCTTTTTCATCATTTGAAATTCAAAATTTGAATTTCAAAAGTTTCCTAAATTGGAGAGCCATTTTAGGAAAGTTTTAAACTTCTTTCATGACAAAATTCAAATTTGATTTAGGTGGAATTTTTCTTCTCCTAAATTAAAGGGATCAATTTGGAAAGAGTTTTAATTTTCTCCACATAACCCACTCCCCTCCCCTCTCACCATGCCGCCGGCCTCCCCCATGGTCCCCACCTCCTTAATGCTACATTAATGCTCCTAATTACTTGTCTTTTGAAATTCAAATCTCAGATTTTTCCCTCCACTTCTACTTAAAAATCTGAGATTAATTTTGGCATGAAGAATACAACACTCTTTCCTCCACCCTACCTAGTTCTCTTCTCAACCTAACTTCCCCCTTCTCCCCACCGCCACCTCCCTTCCACTCCCTCTCTAGTTTGTTTTCTCTTTACATGATTGATGCTTGACCGATCCGGAGTTTGATCCCTTCCTCACATCCGATGGCCAAGGTGGCGTGGATCTTTTCAAATTTCTTTCGTCGGCATGATTCAAATCATGGACGGATCTCTAGAAATTCTGTCCTTCCATAATTGTCGTGGAAGGAGTTACTAGTGGAAGGTGCGTGGTGAATTTCGAAGCTTCTCCGAGAAGGTAATTTTCTTCCTTGACTCATTTACTTTCAAATTCTAATTTCTTTGAGAGAAGTTGTTCAAAGCAAGAGATTGTGTCTACTTATCGCCATCCACTAGTATTCGTAGGAATTGTTACTTCTTTGCTTTTGGATCTCGTTGTTAAACAAGGGTTATGTTGGAAACTATCCCGCATGCATTGCTTTAATTTTCCTATGTGTTTTGATTCCGTTTAGCATCTTGTGTAGTTTGGCCTAAACGGAAGTGACCGTTTATTAGTTTTACTTTGATGTTTTAATCACTAATAACGAAATCTGAAATTGATCTTAAAATATTTTGTGCAAGTTTCCAAATTATGCATGTAGTCCTGCATCAATTACTCTCTATTAAAATAGCTAGCTGGGCCCCACTAAGCAAACCGCCCCCTTATTGGGTGGGATTCTATTTTGCCTGAAATAGGTTTGAGTCGGTTCAAGTTGGACCGGTTCGGCCAGTCCCTGGAGCGACCTAACAATACCCCGCTTCCAAAGATTCACCTTGTCCTCAAGGTAAAAAGATGGGAGTTGATGTTGCATCCTTTCATACGGTTCCCATTTAGCGTCATAATCGGGAAGGTCCATTTAATCAATACTTCTTTGATCCCTCCTCCTTGATGCACCCCCGGTAACTCTAGTTGTTCTAGAACTACATCCAATTTCTCAGTCAGTGTGGCCGGAAACTCTGAACACGCTGTGTGATCCTAATAGCTCTTCTTAACTGAGATATATGGAACACTTGATGTATAGTAGCAATGGGAGGTAACCTCAAGCGATAAGCTACTGCTCCAATCTTCTTTGATATCTCATAAGGGCCAAAATATCATTGAGCCAGCTTCTCATTCCTTCTATTAGCTACTATCATTTGCTTATACAGTTGAAGTTTCAAGAACACCTTATCCCCAATTTCAAACTAGATGTACTTCCTATGCCCATCCGCCCATTTCTTCATATCTACTGAGCCCTCAATAGATGCCTTCTCAATTTTTCCAACACATTGTCCATCTCCTCCAAGTATTCTTCTACTAAATAAATTGGAGCGCTCTTCTGTCCAAAATGCACCAAGTGAGGTGGGCCGCATTCGTACAACACCTTGAATAGGGTCATCTCGGAAGTGGAACGATATGAAGTGTTATACCAGTATTCCGACCATGTAAGCCACTTGGCTATGTTGCACCGATACAGATACTGCGACACGGATATGACACGATACGGATACGGGACACGTCAATTCTTAAAAATGCATGATATGGGTACGATGCGGACACGACATTATAATTTATAAATCATACATAAAAATTAAGAAAGCAATCAAAGCATAATATTTGAAATTACCAAAAAAATAAATGAAAGCAACATCATTTGTAGCCTTATAGCTTATAATATCAAAATAAAAGTAAGCATTAAATGTCTAGTACAACAACAAAAGGATAAACATAAATTGTCCAGCACATGAAGTTTCAACTATTCAATAGAAGGAATGATATGATTAGCTTCTACAGTGGTTTGTCTTTGAACTTCAATATCATCTTCAATAAATATCATAGCTTCTAATTCAAGCTCATCAAGTGAAAGATTAGCAATTTCTAATACACCCATATCATCAAGACACTCAAATCCATCTCGTAAATGAGAGAAACTCGCTCGCAGCCACTAAAGTAGATACGACGCGTCTTTTTTTTTTTTGGTTTTTCATTGGACACTCGTATCGGATACGCGTGTCCTTTTGAAATTAAATAGTATTTTAATTGGATATGGCTTTTGTCGTATCCGACATGTATCGGTGCCGTATCGAAGGTGTATCCATGTATCAGACACAACATGCATTCATAAATAGGTGTATCGGTGCAACATAGCACTTGGACCAAAGCCGAGGTGTCTCTGACACAAAACATCGCAGGTATGTCTCCAAGCTTTTGTTGATTACTTCCGTTTGCCCATCTGTCTGGGGGTGGTAAGTTGTACTCCTCTTCAATACTGTCTGTTGCAATCTGAATAACTTTCTTCAGAAATGGCTGAGGAACACCTTGTCCTTGTCGGACACTATATACTCCGACACCCCATGTAGTCGGACCACCTCTCTTATGAAAGTTGTTGCCACTGTGACTACCGTGTAGGGATGTCGTAGGGGGATGAAGTGAGCATACTTGCTCAACCTATCCATTACCACTAGAATCACTGTAAGCTCCTTAGAACAGGGTAGCTTGTATGTAAAATTCACGGAGACCTCCCACAGCCGATCAGGTTGAGCCAGGGGTTGAGGTAATCCCCCTAGAGCCATAGCCATATACTTGTTCCTTTGACATACCTCACAATTGGCTATCAACTCCATATCTTTGCGCATCCCTTTCCAATACAACTCCACAAACAGTCTCCTGTAGGTCTTCTACATCTTCGAGTGACTCCCAACTGCACTCTCATGGAACTCCTGCAGTGGGTGTGGAATATGGACCAATGTCCTCGGCAGCGCAAATCTCCCCTGGTACAGCAGCCTCTCCACTTTTAGAGAATAGCCAAGATGACTATTTCTATCCTCCAGTAAATCTGCCCTTATCCTCCCCAGTTCCTCATCTCATGCACTTTCCTCCTTAATGGCTCTCCAATCTAACATCTGTGGTATCGATACTGCCACTCCTGGAGCTCCACCATACATCTGGACAAAGCATCCGCCGCCTTGTTCTATATTCCCAGTCTATACTAAATTTCACAATCATATCCCAATAACTTATACAACCACCTCTGGTGTGTCTCTGTCACCATCCTCTGCTCCAACAAGTACTTCAGGCTCCGCTGGTCCGTCCTGACAATAAAATGTCAACCTAACAAGTAAGGTCATCACTTTTGAATGGTTAGTACAATGGCCATCAACTACCTCTCGTAGACTGATTTTAGTCTAGCTCTAGCTGTCAACACCTAGGTGATGTAAGCAATGGGTCAATGGCTATGCATGAGTACTGCTCTCAATCATACCCTGATGCGTCCGTCTCCACTACAAAAACCTGACTGAAATCTGGTAGGGCCAAGACCGGTATGGTGGTCATGGCCTTCTTCAACCTCTTAAAAGTTGTTGTGGTCGCCTTCCCCCAGAAGAAGTTATCCTTCTTCAACTATTTTTTTCAGTGGCTAGTTGATGGTGCTAAAGCCCCTTACGAACCTCCTGTAATATCCTGTTAGCCCTAGAAATTCCCTCAGCTCCCTCAGATTCTTTGGCAGTGGCCATCTCAGCATTGCCTCAATCTTTACCTGATTCACAACCACCCCCTTCTGAGATACTATCTATCCCAAGTACTCCACACTAGCATGTGCAAAGCAACATTTCTTCAAATTTTTCCTCAGTTGCTGCTTTTGCAACACCTTTAGGACCATCTTCAAGTGCTCCTAATGTTCCTCATCTAACCTGTTGTGCACCAAGATATCATCAAAGAAAACCAACACAAATCTCCTGAGAGAGGGCCTGAACACCTTGTTCATTAGGGACTGGAAGGTAGCGGGGGCATTGGCGAGGCCAAAAAGCATCACCAGGAACTCATAATGTCTCTCATGTGTTCTGAAAGTAGTCTTCGACATGTCCTCTTTTTTTCATGCGGATTTGATGGTACATGGACTTCAGATTTTTCAAGGTGAAGATAACTTCCCGACTCAGCTCATCCAATAGCTCATGTATCACTGGAATATGAAACTTGTATGGCACAACTTCCTTATTCAAAGCCTTGTAGTCCATGTAGAACCTCCAACTCCCATCCTTTTTCTTAACCAGTAAGACTGGACTAGAAAAATGACTCACTAGGCCAGATAATCCTTACCTCCAACATTTCTTTGATCCTTTTTTTAATTTCATCATTCTGAAATTGAGGGTAGCGGTATGGTCTGACGCTGATGGGTGACACCCCCTCCCTCAGCGTGATGGCATGCTCCTACTCTCTTGGTGGTGACAATTCCTAAGGTGGCTGAAAGACCTTACTGAATGGTTGTATCAGCGGTTGTACTGAAGGAGGAATGTCTCCACACCCTCCAATCTAATCCCCTATAATTTTTGTAGCTCTACCAAGAATTCTTCCCTCATCTTCTGTATGCTCCTCACCATGGTTTTGAGGGACACTATGGCCTTGGATGGCCCTGCATCTCCCCTGATCACAACTCTTCTCCCCTCCACTACCAGCTCCTTGGTCAGTGCTCCTAGTTAGCCTTGGTATTCCCCAAGGTGTGCAGCCACTTCATCCCCAGGATGACATCAGTGCTGCCTAACTCTAATGGGTCTCCCTCACCTGAATCTCCTGTATGGTCAACACTACTCTCCTACAGATGCCCTTACCCGTCTCCATTTCCTCGTACCCATTATCACTTCATACCCCTATCTCCACCAAAGTCACCGCCAATTAGTCCACAACCTGGTTGGAGATGAAATTGTGGGTAGCTCCATTGTCGATCAACACTATCACTTCTCTATATGCTATTTCCCCCTTCACCTTCATGGTATGGCTATGAGTAAATCCTAGCACTGAGTTCAGTGAGATCTCTGTCACATCCATATGCAACTTGTCCTCCTCCTCTACCCTGATCTCACTCCCACCTCCCTCATCAGCTTCCTCGTCATAATAGACATTGAGAACCTGAAGAGTTCGATCTTTGCACTATGCCCCAGAGTATACTTCTCATTACATTGAAAACATGTCGCTTTGCCCTCTTCTCCTGTACCTCCCTCTCAGTCAGCTTTTTGAAATTTCTCTCACTTCCTCCTATAGGCTTATCCTTTGGAATCTCACGAATGTTTTCTGGTGTATGAAAGTGGTGGTCATCCTGTAGGAAACACCCAAATTGCCGCTTCTGGCTCACCTCTCCTTGTAATTCTGCTCGACCAACTGAGCTAGCTTCTTCACCTCTACTAGGACTCGAGATCTCATGACTCTCATTGTTGCTCAGATATTTGATTTGAGCCCCTTCATGAAATATTCCTCCAGAGCAGTCTTAGATAGCCAGTTCTGTTGACTCGTCAGGTACTCAAATCTCTCGCAGTAGTCTGCCGCTAAGCCTTCTTGTACTAGGGCAAATAACTGCTCATAGAAGTCCCTTTCCCTACTCGTTCGGAAATGTTCCATTAAACACTCTTTGAACTCCCTCCAACTCCGTATGGGTAGCCTCATGTCTCTCCACGGGTAACAAGCCAACGCCTTCCCTTCCAAGCATAGGCTAGATGCCGTCAACTTCTCCTCCTCCGTCAGCCCATTGACGGCGAAATATCTCTCTACCTTATAGATCCACCCATGTGCATCCTCCCCCTCAAAGATGGGTATCTTCAACTTCCTGACCTTTGGATCCCCTCTATTTCCCTTAATTCCTCCATAGTTTCCCCTTCTCCAAGTGGGTGCCACCCCCCCAAGTGTCCCGATCCTCCCTTCAACGCTCATACCCAAACCCTTCCTCCATTTTCCCCCTTTTTCCGTCAAAATCAGCACCTCTCTGGCCATAATCTCCCTCCCTTCTTTCCCAATCAGTACCTTTTTGCTCATGCCCCTCATGTCCACGCCTCTCTCCTCCCTCTGGAAAGGTTCCATATGGGGTCTTCCCCCTTCGTCCTCTATGATCTCCACATCATTTCCATCCCTACGAATTTCAGAATTTGTATTCTTTTCCTTCTAGCCCTCTCGCCTCCGATGCCGCCGTTTGGTTGTGGAGATCCATCATCTTCATCATGTCACTTAGGTCAGAGAATTGTTCTTCCATTGAGGAAATTCTATCTTCCACCATTGCTTTGATTTGGTTCATCTCCCCCTCAAGACGTTCTTCCAACGCATCCACTTTCTTGGCCGCCATTGATATCCGGATCTTTGATAGAATAAATAATCTGTATTTCCACTCCGAAAACAGCAAAAAACTAGGGTTTAGACCAGAAAAAACTACTGCATGAATTAGTCCACACAGCCCAAAACAGTCCTGGAAAGCGGCTCTGATACTAGTTTGATAGGAAACCCTTGTAGGTCTCAAGTAAATCTTACAAAAATCTGAATTTCAGCATGACTTCACCACAAACCTCCAATCAACTCAGGAAAAACTACAAATAGATGATTGGAATTGATGAAAAATAGAAAGCAAATGACAAGATACAATTGATCCTCTATTTGAGAGGAGGATCCTTCTCTCCCAACTCTCTAGAAGTCGCTAAAGCCGATGAACACCAGGAAACTCAGAATTACAGCAGTAATCAAGATGAAAATCTTAACCCTACAAGATAAACTATTTAAAGAAGAATACAATAAAGAAATCCCTAAACAACCCTTAATTTTAAAATTTTCCCTCCAAAGCCTTCACTAATTACAATTACAACCATTACTGTCTTTTAAAACAACTGGGCCCCACCAAGCCACCAGCCCCCTTACTGGGTGGGATTCTATTTCGCCTGGAATAGAATTGAACCGGTCCAGGTTTTGGACTGGTTCAACCGAACAATTTAGGATGCCTTTCAAATACAATCTACTGCCTAAACCTTTATGTTGATGTCATGTTTTGACTGCCAGTCTTTAGCTCTAATGCACGGAAAGATGAAAAAAAACAGAAGTTTTGTTTATTTAAATGCAGTGTACCTTATTAGTTATGTGAAAATAGGTTTTTTAGCTCATTCATTCAGTATGATGGAGTAAGCATGTCTCCCTGGTCGCTTTTATGGAGTCTTCTTCAAATGAACTCGTTTTTTTGAGATTATTTAATTTCTGACGAGCATTTAAACAGGATTTGGATCTTCCACTAACTGAATCTTCATGGACGAAGGAAGAGCTGAAAGACCCTAATAAATTATTAGAGATGGTTAGTCTTCTGACTGCACAAAGAGAATTGGCAGACAAAATATTAGATGCACAATGGGAAGCCCAATGGCGACAGAATAAAGTACGTCAACTTCTAAATTGTTGTAGACTATTCCAGCATTCATGACTTTTATTTCCCTGGTCTTTTTGAATAGTTCAATTTAAGTTTTATGTGCTTGCATTTGACTACTTCCTTTTAGGATGCTTACACTGTAGATTTTATATATTATCCAGAGATTCTATAGCTTGTACATATTTGTTTGAGTGTGCATGCTGTTAATGTGGCTCGTGTAGTTCTGTTCTTCTGTTATTCTGCCTCATTACCTGCATCCTAGGCAGCGCGATGCAACGCTGCTCAAGAAGAAACTCAAAAGATGTCTTGATGAGTTGGCACTTGATGGTCCTACCACTTAAATTTCCATGGTTCATTTGAAATTGCATGGAATTAACTTGCTGCTTTGAATTGTTAGCATGGAAACCCATAATATTAACATGCAACCCAGAAAATGTGTGGAATTAGTATTAATATTTTGGCATTTCATGTTAGCGATTCAAGCTAACAAGTTAATCCCACTCAATTTAAAATGGGGTATAGAAATTTAAGTTCTGTCACCCACAAATGCAACCAACGAAAGTTTTCTTTTGGTTTTTTTATTGGGTAGTGAAGCGTTACTCTTTCAAGTGTTTATTCATGTTAATTCATATTTTTCACTCATTTTACAAATTACAGTGGCTGATGAATCTAATTGCCTGAACTAGGCCAGTGCCTAACTTAATTTGTTAACTATTAAGGACAATGCGTCATCTCTGGTGTTCAATATAGTTTATTCTTAACCCTTTTGGTGTTGTTTCTGTGTGCAGCTTAGTAGCATTCAGTAATATTTTTTGGCTTGCTTGCTTTCATTTTGGGTTATATTCACGGGGAATGCTTTTGCACTTTTTACTTGTAGCAGAATAGGGAAGATAGATTGTAGAATTACAGGCATAAATTTAACGCCCCCCTTATTTTGATAGAAAATTGCTTGATGATAGAGGAATTAAGGACTATTTAACAAAGGAATTTTGTCCCAATCAATTCCATAAACAAGATTTATGATTTCAGCAATCTTATCTTCCTATTTTGGCAACATATGGGGCGGTTTTCTCCTGAATTTGTGGGTTGGAATTGCCTCCCAAATTATCTCCTATGTGGACTCATTTTTTATTCTTGTTTTACTCTATTTTGGTAATCATTTATTTTGAGAATGTTGATTCTATGTAATAGTTTGTAATTAACATTTTTTTTTCTAGTCCCTTGATCGGCCCTGGTAGAACTCTCTTTTTTGCTTATGAATAATATACTTTGGCTCTTGGCATAGAAGTACAAATAAGTTTTTCTCTTCTATGTTTCTTTATTTCTCTCTCTATTTTTAACAAGGAATCATAGACATCTCTAACCCTCCCTTACTCTCTATGTTCTTAAGTTTTAATCTTGATTATGGTTAAACACAAAATGACTTCCGATAGAAATTTCTCATTCGTTGTCATCACCATCTATGAAATAATTATTCATGGCGAGCTTCTATTCCTATCTATTACTAATTGAGTCATTGGGTACAAGTTGAAAAGAAAAAAATAATTTCAATGGGGTCAATCAGTTAAGATGTTCATAAGCAAGAAATATAATGATGATTATCTCACTAATGCAGCTATTCCTCTCAAAAAGAAGATCCAGAGGTCAAATAATGGAGATATTAAAATAATATGATTATGTTCTGGCTCATTAAAAATATTAAAATAAAATTTTCTAATATTTTATTTCCTTTGACAACATAAAAGGGTTTTGAGACGTTGAAAAAAAAAAAAAAAAAAACTCAGACAGAAAATGTTGTACTTGAAATCAAATGCGCCTATCATGATCTTATGCAAGGTGTCTTTTCGTTACTCAATATTACAATAAACTTAATAGGCATTTGTAGCAACTAAATGTCTTTTGAAGAACTAGATTGGGAGTATCCAGGGGATGCATCTAAGTACTGAAAAATAGTTGAGAAAGTCATAATAGCCTACTTCTCGATCTAAACAAAAATAATGATGAAATCCAAATAAGAGTTTTTAATAAAAAATCTTTCTGTTCATTTGTAAAGTGTTCTTTAAAGTTTGAAGGTGGTAAAGTTGGAAGAAGATTATGATGGGAGACCAAGTCATCCCAATCACTCCGATACTCACCTCTCAAAGTATGAATGCATCAAACAAAATTTCTTCTAAAAAGAGAAGGCTCACTAGTTTCTTCTTGGTGCACATCCTTACTCTAAGCCCATTTACTTCTGATCTTCATCTTTGGGATGCTCTTTTTCTCGAATGGTTGCACAAACAATGATGTTGGCATGTTAGGTGGCTTGCCTTGGTTTAGTTAGTTGGGATTATTACCAGTATTTGGAAAAATGTGAGCTTTATGACATTGGAGATTATCATTTGGGAATGCATTGGTAACAAGCAACAAGAATTTTCGTATCATCTATGCCACCTTGATCCTTTGCTAGTTTCCTTATAGATGTTCCAGAAGCAATAATAATGGTTGTGGTTGGATGGAGATGCTTGCTTTGCTTTTCTGGGTAGTGATGAGAGCCGCTCCTTTAATTTTTCTATACCTTAAACTTTGTCCTTTCAGCATAGTCAACTCACATCATTTCAATTGGATAAAGGTGGTGATCAAGAGTTTGAAGGTTATGTTTTCATTAAATTGATATAGGGTGATGGAGAGGATGGCCTTCCTCAACATTTGTGCCTAATTATAATAATCTCTACATTTAGAAGGAGGTGCTTGATAGACCAACTGATTTGATTGGGAAGGAATTCGGAAGTTTCCTAATCAAGAGGAGCCTATTTTGGAAGGTCCTTAATCAAAGGGGAATTATTCAGGAAAATTTTTAATTACAATTAGAAGAGAATTAGTTAGGGCAAGAAATCTAATTTGATTTCAAAATCTAAGAGGGAATTATTTTGGGAAAGGGAGGAGGAATCAAGGGGAAATTGTTTAGGAAAGTTTTAATTATAATTGGAAGGGAATTATTTAGGGCATGAGATTTGATTTGAATTTAAATATGAGAGGGAATTATTTAGGGAAAGAGGGCTGATTTAGGAGGGAATTAGGGGATCCTATTTAAGGCTAACAATAGGGTGATTTTAAGAGTAAGTTTTGAATTTGCTGAATTTCTTAGGTTGCGAGAGCTCTAGCCGCCGACTAGTGATTTGAGAGAGCCGGATCTTCCTCTCCAATTGTAGATCCAACTGTATCTTCTTGTTTTCTTTCATATAACTTGCAAAAAGAAGAATTTTGGTGTGTTCTTCTTCCTAATTTTTTATTATTGTTCGCTGATTTCGAAGAAATTGTATCCATGTCCTATCAAATTGTTATCAGAACACTTTTTTGGGACATATGGAGGCAAAGATGGTGGATGTGTTGGAAGGCAAAATGGACCAAATTAAATCTTGGTTGGTGGAGAAGTTCTCAAACATCAAAGGAGGCTTCCAGCCTTTGAAGGAAGACTTTCTAACCTAGAGGACATGATGAAAAAATTTTTGGAGTTTCACATTCAATCGACTGTTATGTGTGGAATATGATTGTGTTGATCAATTTGGTTGTTCTGTTGTTTTGGACCTCAAAGCTTATCTTGTTCGCTGGAGGGGGGGGGGTTCACCTCTATTTTTTATTTTTTATCCGTACAACCCTTGACGTTGCGTACCCGAACACTGTATTATCGAGCGCCCCAGCGCTGAACCATATAGAGTAGAGGACGTAACAGTATAAATATGATGCTGCAGCGGTGCAAGACAGAGGCTTGAGTGACATAGTGCCCCAAACTGGTGCCGCAGCACTGCGAAACGGATTGAACGATTTTCTTTCTCGTTTTTCTAAAGGTTTGCGTCCCTTGAGGTTATTTTACTTGGTTTTCTCTTGTATTTTGAGTATGTATACATTGAAAATGGTGCATGTGAGAAGAGAAGCAAGGAGAGAGTGAGAGAGAAGAGGGATCTGTACATATTTCTCCCAATTTTCATAGTGGATTTCTTGGTGTGGCGTGGCTCCGTAATTTTTTCCTTATTTTGGGGGTTTTCACGTTAAATCCTGGTGTCTTTTACTTTTTGCTGCTTTTATTTTTTTGCTTGTTTCGTCATTGTGGTGTTTATTCCTCATCTTCCTCAACACTGATAATATCGAAGGCAAGGGCCCCGTTGATCGGATAAGGAAGTGTGGGAAACCCAAATATATGGATGATGAAGGATGATGAGGAGGTGGAAATATTGGGGCAAGAAGAGGAGATGTCACATTTGGAGCCACTTTCAAGGAGGGGGAATGGTGAAGGAGTGAGATTTTTGATGGAGCTACAAAGTTCAAAAGGAGAAGAAGATATGGAGAAGATAGAAGCACCAAAAATGGTTCAACCACTCCTACATTAGTATCTAGAGGTGGTCCAACCAGTTCAGGGGTTTCCTCCTTTGCGGGAACATGAGCATGCTATCATTTTGAAGAAAGGAGTCTCACATATCAGTGTTCATCGGTACCGTTCTCCCAAACTCCAGAAGTATGAGAACGAGAGATTGATTAGGGAGATGCTAGTGGCATGAATCATTTGATTCAGTGATAGTCCATTTTTTAGTCTAGTTCTATTAGTCCAGTGCTTCAACAGTTGTTTCCTTCTTTCCATGTTAAATATAAGGTGATACTTTGGGAGGGGAGTATTGATGGACCGGTTGGTTTGATTGGGAGGGAATTTGAAAGTTTCCTAATCAAGAGGAAACTATTTAGGAAGGTTCTTAATTGAAGAGGAATTATATAAGAAAAATTTCATTTCAATTAGGAGGGAATTATTTAGGGCAAGAGATCTAATTTGAATTCAAAATCTAAGAAGGGATTATTTAGGGAAATGGAGGAATCAAGGGAGAATTGTTTAGGAAAATTTTAATTATAATTGGAAGGGAATTATTTTGGACAAGAGATCTAATTTGAATTAAAATATAAGAGGGAATTATTTAGGGCAAGAGATCTGATTTGAATTCAAATATGAGAGGGAATTATTTAGGAAAAATGGGCTGATTTAAGAGGGAATTAGGTGAGTCTATTTAAGGCTAATAATAGGGGGATTTCAGGAGTATGTTTTGAGTTTGCTGAAATTAGAATTTCTTAGGTTGCGAGAGCTCTAGCCGCCGGCTAGAGATTTGAAAGAGCCGGACCTTCCTCTCCAATTGAAGACCCAACTGTATCTTGTTGTTTTCTTTCATATATCTTGCAATAAGAAGAGTTTTGGTGTGTTCTTCTTTCTAATTTTTTGTTGCTGTTCGCTGATTTCGAGAAAATTGTATCCATTTCCTATCAAATTATTGATGGACCGGCCGATTTGATTGGGAGGGAAATAGAAAGTTTACTAATCAAGAGAAAGTTATTTTGGAAGGTTCTTAATCAAACATGAATTATTTAGGAAAATTTTCATTACAATTAGGAGGGATTTATTTAGGCAAGAGTTCTAATTTGAATTCGAAATCTAAGAAGAGATTATTTAGGGAAAAAGATGAGGAATCAAGGGGGAATTGCTTAAGAAAGTTTTAATTATAATTGGAAGGAAATTATTTAGGGCAAGAGATCTGATTTGAATTCAAATATGAGAGAATTATTTAGTGAAACTGGGCTAGTTTAGGAGGGAATTAGGTGAGTCTATTTAAGGTTAACAATAGGGTGATTGCAGGAGTATGTTTTGAGTTTGCTGAAATTAAAATTTTTTAGGTTGTGAGGGCTGTAGCCACCAACTAGGGATTTGGGAAAGCCAAATCATCCTTTCCAATTGAAGATCCAATTGTATCTTGTTGTTTTCTTTCATATATCTTACAATAAGAAGAGTTTTGGTGTGTTCTTCTTCCTAATTTTTTATTGCCGTTGATTGATTTCGAGGAAATTGTATTCATTTCCTATCATTGCTCTCATATTTTTATGGTGAGCAAGTGAACCCTTTTTTGGCCCTTTGTATGCCTTTGCCAGTTCAACACTACTAGGATGAGGTTGGTGGTAAAGAATGGTAAGGATGATCTTTTTGTTGTCCAAGAGAAGGTGATGGTAGGATCGTTGCCAGTATTTGAGAAAATGTGAAGCTTTATGATATCTCCAAAACTCTAGAGGCTATATTTCTCAATTACTTCCCTTTTTCTTTAATCCAAGGTATATAACTCTATCATCATATCTAGTTGATTTTTTAGTAATATGGATTGATACTTATCCATTATACACCAACTAAAATTGCATTTTATATATTTGATCTCTGTTTGCTGATCCTAAATCCCTAATTTCTCTGATAATCTGTTTGTTTTGCCGCGGTCTCACCTAGTTGAATAATGTAATTTACAAAAGCATCCTCCAATATGCCTCAGTTTGAATACATTTATTAGCAATTTTATAACTACAGAGAAATATACATACTTAATATTGATTCTTGATGTAAGTCTACTATGATTGAATTTTTTTTTTTCACTCCAAGATATATGACACATGCGTGCTAAATTTTTTAATTATAGGGAGGGGAATATTAGTGCATGTGAACTATTTTTAGTAATTGACGGATTTCTACATAATAATATTTTAGCAAAAGTATTTTTGTTGTCAACAATATCTTTAATGTCTCTTTTGGGCAATCTGGTGATGATTATTAAATATTTGAGGGGAATATTTATGACTTGAAATATAAGGAGCAAATTATCATTTTGATATAATCTTAATTATTTTATTCCGACACACAAAAGATACAACGATAATGGGGCTGTATGTTGTTTATGACTTTTAGAAATTATTCATCTTCGATGTAGAATCAAAACATATCGTTAGGTTTGAACGAGGGGAATTTGAGTGAAAGTATTAAAGAAGAAAAAGTTGAAAATCATATTTTGGCAGATTTATAATCACGTTACAAATCACCTGAATTTCACATTGTTCCTTTATTCCCCATTTTATTCCAAATATGCCCATATTATCACGTAAACAACCTGGTCTATAATCATGGAATATGCCAAATCTTTAACTGTCCATGCCAGAAATTTAACGATGAAGCCATCTATATCTATTTCTGTTCAATTATGAAGTTAAGGTTTTGTTTGGTTCGGCTTTTTACTACTTATTAAAGCGATTTTTTAGTTAAAAAATTTAATTTTTTACAAAAAAGCTGTTTTAAGAAGCATTAAAAAAACAGTCTCAAACGAAGCCTAAGTTATACATTTCTTAAACTTTATGCTTATATTCAAACGGTACATTGTGTGATATAATTTTGATGTTTTTTATGTACCGTGTTGTATTCTTTATGCAAGTTTCAAGAAATATTAGATGAGAAGCTGCAGCCATATGTTCAGAGTGTAAAGGGCGTTCTTCCTCAAATTATAGCCACGCCATCCCCTAATCAAGAAAACAAGGTTAATCTCATGTCCTACAGGTTCTTGTTTTATATTTGATTTCACTTTCCAAATTAATTCGCCATATTTTGTTGAACTTATGATCTTGGAATGAATTTATTGCTATTGTTCAGTGTAATTGAAATCCAGAACTTGTAATCCTCTCCTAGTACAATGATAACTGCACAAAACAATTAAAAATCCTGGACATCTAATCCACTTTGGATATCCAGGATTAATTCCATCAAATCTTTTGAAAACCATTCTGATTTGTGTCAATTAGATCTAGGGTTATAAACGAGTCGAGTTTTGGCACTACTCGAGCTCGAGCTCGTCCCACTATAAACGAACTCGAGCCGGCTCGCGAGCTTAATTTGGCACACGGTTTGTTTTCCAAAAGAAAAAATTCAGCTGCATTAAATGTTAAAGCAGGTTTCATATTTTCTACCGCCCAAACTATGCTTCTACTGCCCAAATCCTCTCAAAATCCAGTTTTTAAATTATTGTTTGTAACATTTTCTTCTAAAAGCTGCTGCAACATTTATTACAACATTTATTGCTAGTTAATTACCATTCAAAAGCAGCAGCATAAAAGTAATAGGATACATGTTTTCTCCGGGTCCCTCCCGCGAATAGCAAACCGAATTGTAAATGAGCTCGGGCTAGCTCGCGAGCTCATGAACCGAGCCTCATCAAGCTCGAACTCGAGCTCATTTACTAAACAAGCTCGAGTCTGAGCTCGAGCTCGATAAACTCGGCTCGCGAGCCCATGAACGAGTTGAGCTCGGCTCACTTACACCCCTAATTGGATCTTTGCCAACCAATATTACCATTGTTAATTGGAGAGGATGCGTATCCCTTCTCTCATCCTCACTCTAGCTGCTAATTGCTTGTATTTTGTGACTATCGATCAATCCAGCCATTTCTCTCTGAATAAAATAGTTAAATTATATGTATTTGCTTCAATTGTAAATGCAGTAATGAATTTTTTGTCCTGATACTTGTCATTTCTTTCGATACGATTCAGATTCAGACGAAGACAAGAAGACGTAGGTGGTGGTTTTTCTAACTCATGAGAGTAGGTGCTTTCACAGTTGCAGATCTTGTAGAAGGTGCGCCAATTTAGTGCATGATTGAAGCTTATTTTCGTATATGGTTGGAACTTACAAACCTCATCAGATCATAAAAGAGGCTTCATCCAGTATTTGTTTCTACTGCAGTTCTCAAGCCTAAGCAACCATTTGTGAATTTGATCAATATTAGGCTTTTTCAAGTGTATGAAGAAAGATTGGTTCTGCTATTTTTGTCTTGATTTAGATATATAAAAGAAAAATATATATATATACTGAGTTTTATATTTATTAAATTTGATTTGAGATGATTGTAATATAAATTTTAATTAATTATATGTTACATTGAAGTCAATGCAAATTTAATAATTATAAAACTCATTTTGATAAAATCAGGATGTGTTGCCCAAAAATTTCTGCCATTTAAAATTTTGAATATTATAAATAGGGGTATGATGTATAATTTAAATTAGGAATAGAAGCAGCGTATTAAATTTTTTTTTTAAAAGTAAACTAGCCAAACATAATTGTGCATTCTATTGAATGTACTAAACTGTTAAAATGGAATACACCATTCTTTTTGGCGCATTTCATTGAATGTGCCAAATTGTTTGATGCATTACTACAATAATTTTAGACATTGATGTGGCTGACTGTGATATGAATGCACCAGATGATTTGGTGTACTCAGAACTACCCAAATTATTTGGCGCTTTCTTTTAGAATGCACCAAATGATTTGGCTAGTTTTGAATGCACCAAATTATTTAGTACATTCTTTAGAATGTGTCAAATAATTTGATTAGTTTGCTTCTTAAAATTTTGTAATATTTTACTCTTATTCCTAATTTAAATTAACACCAGCTCCTTAAAAAAAAAAAAACCTTTAAAATTCAAATTTGCTAGCAGAACCATTTTGCAGGTATATACATATTATTGCAATTGGTTCAAATTATTTCTCTTGACAATGTAAAATTTAGGAGTAATTACGTAAATAACATCAAAATATTACCTGTCTCTATTTTCTAATATCTCTAATTACTAACATCAGAAAAAAGGTTTGGACAACAGGGTTTATCTTCTGCATCTTGCACCGATGAATAAAAACATGAACATCAACAAATGCCCATACAAAAATAAAATCTAAGTACCTTACAATATAAAACTCCAATCATTAAAGCAATAGAAAACAGAAACCACAATTCAAATTAAACGGTCGACAGCCAACGGTAAAATGTCATAAAATACTCAAAAACAAAATAACGATCAATATTAGCATCATTCCTTCCATCTTCTCTTCCATATATCTCTTCTTCTCTATGCCCATATAATCAATGAAGGTCTCTGGCACACCTGGTGATAAAACTGCAGCCGCGGCGATAAGGGTTAGCTCTGCCATGGCGGTAGCAGTTGTAGTAAGAAACTCCGCGGCGGTTGCAGGGGACTTGGTTTCTCCTTAGCATTGCATAGCTGAGGAATCGGCGGCGTCTCGCCATGAGCTGGCGGCGTTCGTCTGTTTCCTCAGCCTCGTTGTCATTGAGGAAACAATTATTCTCCAGGCAATCGAAGTCGTTAATGGCGTATGAGGATATGGAGGTCGTGAGATCATCGATGGGGGAGGTGGCTGCGGTTGTGAGGGGGAGGAGGAGAATGAGGAGGAGGAGGAGGATTGTGAAGGGAGAGGGAAGCGTAGCCATGGCTTTGGTTTGTTTTCTTTCAGAGGAGCAAATAAAGAGCTGGGGAGAAGAAGAAGAAGAAGAAGGAGGCGGGGGACAAGGGAAGGGGTGGTTGGAAAGGGGTGGCTCAGCGATGGACATGGTGGAGAATGACACGTGTGAGGTGGGAGCCATTCAATATTGGGAAGATTGTTATTTTTGTTTCTTTTGTTTTTTCTCTCTCTCTCCCAAAAAAAGTAAGGTAACAATTAACAAAGCAAGGATGGCGTGTTTTCTAATTGATTGTGATGATACAAAACCTAGGGGTGTCAAAACGGGTTGGTGGATCGGGTTTGGGTCAAATCCGAGTTGACTCGAGTCTAAATGGGTCAACCCGAACCCAAACCATGCGGGTTATCGGGTTTCCTGTTTCCTGGTCAACCCGAATCCAACCCGATTTTACAAACGGGTCAAAAACGAATCCGGGTTGAAAACTCAATCCGAACCCGACTCGTATATCAAATGGGTTGACCCAAATCCAGATTTATTTTGGGTCGGGTCCAGATCGGGTTTCGGGTCGGAACAGATTTTGACACCCCTAACAAAACCTCAATCAAAACTTCTATGAATAATTGTGAGAAATGATAAGCAAATATGATTCTATCTCAACATAGTATATCAAATCTTAATCACATAGCGAGTAATTATTAATATATGGAGATAATTATCTCATGAACTTTAGTTGTAAAGTTTAAACCCATTATTATATGCATTTGTTATATGTGTTTATATACTTAACATTTTTCATTAATTTTTTTAGTATCATCGTTATGTTTATATAAATAGATGGTTGTGTGATATTAAAATGCATCACGGCATTCTTTTTTTATTCTTCTTAACTTTGGTGTGAGACAAAGACTTGAGAATTGGAGAAATTATTATGTGTGGACGCCGAACATAGCTCTATGTCTGAATACTGCGGTACCGAATGGTACTGAGCTGCGGTACTGAGCTGCGGTATCAAATAGCACCAAGCCGTGGTACACTAAAAAGGTAATGTGGTGCATTTTTTTTTGTCTCTGGATGGAGAAATTATTCCGTGTGGACCCCGAACGTAACTCTATATACGAATAATGTGGTACCGAATGGTACTGAGCTGCGGTACCGAGCTGCGGTACCAAATAGTACTGAGCCGTGGTACACTAAAAAGGTAATGTGGTGCATTTTTTTTTTTGTCTATGGACGACGTTCATTGTCTGCAGAGAATAATTTTTCTTAGAATTGGTTGGTACAGTGATGCATCCCATTATTATTAGGTGTGTCAATTCGGGTCAGCGGGTTGGATTCGGGTCGAACCCGAATTGACTCGGCTTTAAACGGGTCAACCCGAACTCGACTCGTTTTTATAAACGGGTTGGCTTTTTCAACCCGGACCGACCTGTGCGGGTTGCCGGGATTACACGACCCGACCCGCGCTGGTTGCCGGGTTGACACGACCTGACCCGACCTGGATTTTTGAAATACTCCAGGCGGCACAGTCTCAGCGGCAGCGGCGGAGCAACGGCAGCACGCATCGCAGGCGGAGCAACGGGAGCAGCAGCAGCACACGTCGCCGCTTCGGGTTCGGGACGTGCTTCGAAGTTGGGACACACTCGCGCGGCACGCACTTTGACGCTTCACCCCTTCAGCCTTCGGGACATGACTCGATGCTTCGGAGTTCGGGCGGCACTCGATGCTTCGGGCGGCTCCGCGCAAACAGCACGCGAACTCGGGTTCAACCGGGCAGGGCGGGCAGCAGACGCGGGTAGAGGATTTTCAGGCATTTTCGGGTTGCTGGGTCAACCTAAACCCGACCCGTTTTTTGAAACAAATCAGTTTGTTGAACCCGAACCCGACCCACCCGGCCCGTTTCACAAACGGGTAGACTAGAACCCGAATTTTTCCGGGTGACACCCCTAATTATTATATGCCCTAAATCCAAAATATCCCTACCCATCAAGTAATTTGGCCGAGCGATTTCATTTCACGTAATAAAATGTATAAAAACTAAAAAGGGGCTATGTCGTCATTCGATTTCATAAAAGTCGAAAGCAGCTGCTGGTCTCGGACTTGTGTTCCCCGCAGGCTTCGGAATTCGAATGGATCTCTTTTCTTTTAGATCGGCTTCGCCTATTTTTACTTGGCGCCGCCCTCTTCTCTTCCTCCATCAATGGCGCTCACGGCCTCCGTCTTTTTTTAATTATTTTCAACTCCATTGATTTCATTCCTTAAACAAACTCTTCCTCTGCCCCCGCGTACGCCCCATTATATATCTCTAACCTCTCTATCATCTACCGTTATTCAAGGAATTGATTTCATTCAGGAGATCTCCCTCTCCTTGTAAGTCTCTCTTTCTCTCTCTAGATCTCGCTCCGAATTGTTGATTTGCTCGCTAGACTGACCGAGGCGTTGTTGTAATGCGGGGTTTGATTTGGGGGATTCGCTTAAGTTTTGATAGTTTCATTATTGTTTTGAGGTCGTGCTCCTGTTTCGCCAATTCGAAGTTTTTAGCTCAAACGGTGATGAAATGTTGGAATTTGGGTGATTTTGATCTGTCCATTTTAGAATTTGTTTCAATTAAGTTTTGGAGTGTGAGAAGAATGGAAGGACTCTTTTTTTTATTTGATCTGGTATTTGATTCGAAGATTTGAAATGGATCGGGAATTTATTCAATTAGATCTAGCATTTCTGTTGCTATTGTCAATGAGTTAATGTGAGTTAGTGTTTGCTTGCGCGTGGTGGTCGGACGCAGAGAAGGCTGGCGGAAGGGCTGGGGCCGCTCGTAGGCGGGTCCTTGCTTGCGTGAAGAGTTCAGACGGGAAGGTCGCCGGCGAGGGCTTGTGCAGTCGTGGGTTGCTGCTGTCCTGAGCGTGTGGATTGAAGCCGATCGGCTCAACAGAGCAATCGATCTCTTGAAAACTGAAAACCAGAGCAGAGAGCCAAAACCGAATGCCAAATTTCAAGTGAACTCTTGCGACAATGCCGCCTCCTGATGCTTCGCCCGCTCCGCTAGGTCTTTGCCCTTGCCGTCTCTCCGGCGCGTTTCAGTGGATTGCTTTTTTTTTTTCTTTGTCTCCGTGGCGCTGTTGGCCTCTTCGCCGGGCCAACAATCTCAGGGAAGCATTCTTTTTTCTTTGCTTATTGCTCCGCTGCTTTATGGTTTCCTTGCATTTCGTCCACCTCCGGCTTTTTAGTCCCGAATGGCGATGAATTTGCCTTGTCGATCCAGGTTTTTGTTGATGGATCGACAAAATCTATCTCATTTCGAGATCTGAGATTCTTCTATTTCTTGATGTTAGCAATGTATAGTGGCCAAATAGGATCATTTTCTTCTCGAGACCTTTTCCTTTTTCATCATGTGGGAATTAGAATTAATTCCTGTTTACTTACTTTTATCCATGTGGGGAGGAAAAAAACGCTACAAAGTTTATTTTGTGCACTGCCGGAGGTTCCATTTTTCTCTTAATAGGAGTTCTAGGTATTCTTCTGAAGTTGATGATGAGGAAGTTTTTGAACAGCAAGGTGTTATGCGAGATACAACTGTTTGGGTGGGTACACAAAGAAAGAGGAAATCCAAAAAATAACTGTTTTTGGTGGTTGGCTTGGTAGCTACTGACTAGGTGTTCTGTGTTTTCTGTGGTTGGCGACCGTTCGGATGTTTTTGGATGTATTTGTCTCTCTCCTGTTTGTTTGTGATTTTGGGGGTTGGCTTTGCGGTTGTAGCTATTTTTTTTTGCTATGATGTGGCATTTGGTTCACCACCTTGGATCCGTGGCTTATTGACAACCATTGGTGGTACATCTTCTTGGTCTTTTGGTGGCTTTATTTCAGAAGTTGGCTGTTGGTTGGCTTTTTGGTGGATTTTTACTTTTTGCCTCCCTCTAGATGGTTCGTGCCTGGCGTCTGGGTGGTTGGAAGCTTCTGCCAATACTGAGCCTGACTGGCTTTTTGGCCTTCTTTATCTTCAAGGCCTCCTCAATTCTATTCTTATCTTGTTATTTCTCTTTATTTTGTTTGGTCTTGATTGTAATCTTTCTCTTTTGATGGAATGAAATATTAGTTTGTGAAAAAAAATAAAAAAAATTCTGTTGCTATTGTTCAATTTGATTATTGAATTGATAGTTGTTTAGAGCAAAGTGATTATTCTTCCATATGTCGGTGCTTAAATCGGCCCTTTTGTTATGAAGTTGAAGTTAATGTAGGAACTAATCAATGAAATCCTTGCATTTCTGGTTCTAAATTCAGTGTCATTATAATCCGTGTACAGTTGACGGGTGTTTATTTTCGTTGGGAAGGAATGGCGAGTGATAAATGCCTATATTGTTTTAGCTGAACGATGCAAGTATGGAGTTCAAATTTCCCATTTCCTTTTCTTTTTTAAATAGGGAATATCATGGTTGCAAAAACAATTATGTGGAACCGATTTTGATTTTAAGATGGAGCGTTTATGGAATATCAATTAAATATGTGTTTGTGGTGGATCTTTTTGGATTTATTCAAATATTGAATTGGATATTAAATTCTGGTTCCACATTGACCTTTTTCTGAACGGTTTTGATTAATGCCCTAGAATCCATTTATTCTGAGCGTATAGAGTTTCTATTGATCAACGCGGATCAGTTTGTTCTTGACCGTAACATTTTATTTCCTGGAAAAAATTTTGAGGTAGGATATCCTGATCCTGATCAGGATAAATTCTGAAGTAAGGATTTTTTTTTTTTTTTTTGAGATGAATACAACATACGTGAAATTTTAAAAAAATTTATTGCGTTCTTCTAAAAATAAATCAAAAGACTTTAAGACTTATTTTGACTAAATTTTGATTGTGAGATCTTGGCTCCTTTTTTTTTATCTTCTTATTTTGTTATCTTTAATTTGTGACGTGGTCTGGTTAGACTGTATATCTAAGAACATGTCCACTTAAAATTCTGCCTGAAACATCACTCATATTTTATCTTAGATTTTGTTATTGTAGCCTTCACCTGCATCACTATAGTCAATCAGCAGTCTTGTTCCAATTATTTGGAATTAGCTTTAGAAATAATCCTAATTTTTGCATTGCTTTTTTAAATTTAATCAACTGTTCAGCTTTCTCTGGTTTTTTGCAGATTTGAATCTGAAGAAGAATAAAAAACATGAGTTCTTATACACCTAAAAACATCCTCATCACTGGCGCGGCTGGTTTTATTGCATCCCATGTTTGTAACCGCCTTATACGTAACTACCCTGACTATAAGATTGTGGTTCTTGATAAGCTTGATTATTGCTCCAATTTGAAAAATCTCCTCCCATCCCGGTCTTCTCCAAATTTTAAGTTTGTTAAAGGTGACATTGCCAGTGCTGACCTTGTCAACTTCCTCCTGATCACTGAGTCAATAGATACCATCATGCACTTTGCTGCACAGACTCATGTGGACAATTCCTTTGGGAATTCTTTTGAGTTTACCAAAAACAACATCTATGGCACTCATGTCCTACTTGAGGCCTGCAAAGTGGCCGGCAATGTAAGAAGGTTCATTCATGTTAGCACTGATGAAGTTTATGGAGAGACTGATGCAGAAGCTGTGGTTGGAAACCATGAAGCATCTCAGCTGCTTCCCACTAATCCTTACTCTGCTACCAAAGCTGGGGCCGAGATGCTTGTTATGGCTTATGGAAGCTCCTATGGCTTACCTGTCATAACCACAAGGGGGAACAATGTTTATGGACCTGGTCAGTTCCCCGAGAAGCTTATTGCCAAATTCATTCTCCTGGCCATGGCTGGAAAGCCCCTGCCAATTCATGGCGATGGATTCAATGTTAGAAGTTATCTTTATTGTGAAGATGTTGCGGAAGCGTTTGAGGTCATTCTTCACAAAGGTGAAGTTGGTCACATCTACAATATAGGAACCACGAAAGAGAGAAGGGTGATTGATGTAGCGAAGGACATATGTAAACTTTTCTCTTTGGATGCTGATGCAGTGATTAAATTTGTAGAAAACAGACCATTTAATGATCAAAGGTACTTTTTAGATGACCAGAAGCTAAAGAAATTAGGGTGGTCAGAGCGCACTACTTGGGAGGAAGGACTAAGGAAGACAATGGAGTGGTACACTAGCAATCCTGATTGGTGGGGTGATGTCTCTGGAGCCTTGCTGCCCCATCCTAGAATGCTAATGATGCCCGGTATTGAAAAGCAGTTTGATGGACCAGCAGATAGTAACAGCATGGGTTTTCAGCTAACAAGCTCTGCTAATCAGATCAAAATGGTGTTACCGGATTCAAAGATCACTAATGGTTCTTCAGAACAATCTTTGAAATTTTTGATATATGGTAGAACTGGTTGGATTGGTGGTTTGCTTGGAGATATATGCCAAAAGCAAGGAATACCATTTGAGTATGGCCGGGGTCGTCTTGAAAACCGATCTCAACTTCTATTGGATATTCAAACCGTGAGGCCGACCCATGTGTTCAATGCTGCTGGTGTGACTGGTAGACCTAATGTTGATTGGTGCGAATCTCACAAACCGGCGACGATTCGGACAAATGTGGTTGGCACTTTGAATTTGGCAGATGTCTGCATGGAAAATGGGTTACTTATGATGAATTATGCTACTGGTTGCATATTTGAATACAACACTGATCACCCTGAAGGGTCAGGCATTGGCTTCAAGGAGGAGGATAACCCAAATTTCACTGGATCATTCTACTCAAAGACTAAGGCAATGGTAATTACTTGGATTCCCTATGATGTGTTTCCCAATATGTTTCTTAAATTATATAGCCTCTGCGCAGCTATAAGTTATTTATGGATCTCAGCAATTTATTTGATTCTTTCTGTTGCATACGCAGGTTGAAGAGCTCTTAAAAGAGTTTGATAATGTGTGCACTCTTAGAGTCAGAATGCCAATATCTTCTGACCTTAGTAATCCTCGGAACTTCATCACAAAGATATCAAGATATAACAAGGTTGTAAACATTCCAAATAGCATGACAATTTTGGATGAACTTTTGCCCATTTCGGTTGAGATGGCAAAAAGAAATTGCAAGGGAATATGGAACTTCACAAATCCAGGTGTTGTCAGTCATAATGAGATACTAGAGATGTATAAGAAGTACATTGACCCTGAGTTTTCGTGGGTCAACTTTACATTGGAAGAACAGGCTAAAGTCATAATAGCACCACGAAGCAACAATGAGATGGATGCTTCAAAATTGAAGAATGAATTTCCAGAATTGCTACCCATCAAAGAGTCGCTGATTAAGTTTGTTTTTGAGCCCAACAGAAAGATGTAAGCTGGTGGAGAGGTTTATGAAAAATCTTAATAAAGTCAGTGTTTAGTATTAAATTCTGCGTTTTGCTTTAGATAAAAGTGTCATACTCTTCTTGATACATGGATGTATGACCAGTTTCTGTTGCACTGTATTGCAGTTAGGTTGGTTAGGCCTCATAAAATTCTTGTTACTTTGTTCTTTAGGGTTATGATTGTTACAATTTGATAAGAGGGCTAGTAGTTTGCCTTCTGCTATTTGTTTATGTAGTCCAGGATTTCTGGACTTTGATTTATTAATTCTACGAATAGCTTATTGTCTAATTCAAAGTTCTTCACTTATAAACTATTGTGACTTGCCATAGTTATGTTCGATGCTTTTCATGTTTATTTGATTTTTTTAATAAGACTTATATTCTAAATAAGTCATCATTAGCTTTATTCTAATTGTTTTGATTATGAATCTGATATCGGAGGGGGCAGCCGGCTCAGCCAGCCGGTCCAACAAGGGCCGGACCAACATGAGCGGGCGGAAATATCAGGGGTTTCGGCCCCGTTGTGGGGCCCAACAAGGCTTTTATTAAATATATTAGAAGGAAAAATAAGGAGGGAAATATTGAAGGAAAGATTCTAATTTTGAAATAAAGTAAGAGAGGGAAATTAATTAAGGTAAGGAGGCTGTTTTGGGGGGAATTAGGAGAGATTATTTAGGGTTGATTCTAGGATTTATTTATATTATGTTTGTTTTGCTTGATTGCTGTAGTTTTCTTCTCGAGAACTTCCTAGTTGCATCTAGGTGGTTTAGGAGAGCCAGGTTACATCTCTAATTGTAGATCATTGTATCTTATTTTTGTGTTAAAGTATTAATTCCAATATCAAACGTCGTTTCTCAAATTTATGCAGTTGTTCTTCTGTTTTCTCGCTGATTTCACTTCCAAGGCATATCAAATTGGTATTAGAGCAAAGTAAATGACATCCAATAAGATAGATACATTGGAAGGTGAAATGGAACAACTCAGAGCCAGGATGTAGGAGAAATATTCTTGAATGGAGGGAAATTTCACAACTGTGGAAGAAAGCCTTTCATCATTGAGAGCCGATTTTAGAACATGGAAGATATGATGAAGTTGATCGAGATGCAATTCAAGGCTTCACCGGCAATTCCTAAGGTTGATCTGAAGGAGAAGAAATTTAGGAGGTCAATGATGAAGTGGAGAGTGTTTTCCCTCAAGGATCACCCAGGGGGTTCTGATGGGAGGTGCATCATGGTTCCGAAGAAAGGGCAACAAGAAGAGGGGAAGTCATACCCTTTTGGAGACCATCCAAGCAGGATGGAAGGTGGACCGAAGGAAGCCATGGTTGGGCTGAACCATGAGGTCCAAACTCACCAAAGGAGGAAGGAAGGGAATCACATAATCACTATCTGGGAGAAATTAACATAGGGGGAAACAATTGGGGTATGGATGCGGGATCAAGGAAGTTAAATATACCGATTTTTGAAGGGGAAGATGCTTAGGGTTGGGTGTATCGGGTGGAGCGTTATTTTGCTATCAATGGGCTGACGGAAGGAGAAAAACTCATGGCAGTGGGACTGTGTTTGGAGGGAAAAGACCTAACTTATTTTCAGTGGAGGGCAGTTAGTTATTCAATCTATTCTTGGGGAGAATTTAAGGATTGTTTGTTGGAACCTTTCCTAGCCATTCAGGAAGGTGACCTACATGAGCAGTTCTATGTCTTAACTCAAGAGGGGATTGTTATGGAGTATCGAGGGAGATTTGAGTTGTGTCAGGTAGGCTAAGGGGAATTTCAGAGCAATGGTTGGAAGCGAATTTCATAAGGGCTTTAAGGAAGACATATGAGCAGAGCTTGGGTTGTTGAGACTTAGATGGCTACGAGAAACGATGGAGCTAGCACAAAGGGTGGAAGAAAAATATTTGAGGGAGAAGGCCAACAGGAGCAGCACCATGGGAGGGACTTACAGGAATACCTCCACGACTCTAGCACCGTGGATCCAAACGGTGTCATTTCAGAGAGAAACACTAAAGGAGAAGAGCACTGAAGTTCATCCTTGAGGCAATTTAAAGAGCCTCACAGAAGCAGAGGTGCAGAATAGGGAATTAGGCTTCAAGTGTGATGAAAGATTTGCATTGGGGCATAAGTGCAAGAATCGAGCCCTTCAAGTCTTGATGGTCTGTGAAGGGAAAGAGGATAGCAGGGACGAGCTAGAGGAGGTTGTATCCTCTGTTAGCAAGTATAAATAGTCGACAGGGTTCGACCTACAAAATAAAAATGTCAATGAAATCCCCATGATGACCGTGTAAATTAAATTCATGTGGTTAGCTGATTTTTGTTAATAGCACACATGTATCATGTTAGTTACAATAGTGAACTCCAATCATGTATCGTCCAACATCATTGGATGCTTCTTCATTTGTTGATTTGTTGATTTGTTGATTTGTTGACCTTATAAGCTAGGTGACTTTGGCCTTGTGGGAATAGGAATTATGGAATGCCTGTGATTATTCAAATGCGAGTAGTTGCTTGGAAAATCCATATTGTGTGACCTCCTCTAGACTTTGTTTCCACTGGTTGCCTTGATGATGAAAGATACCTTAAATACTTTGATGAAGGGAAGTGGAAGCTCGCTAAACTAAAGAGCTTTTATTCACCAAATCCAAGCTTGACTTTGAGTTTCTGTGTAATAAACTTTACTTTTCTTTCCCCTCCCAAAACAAAAGTTACAATATAAGCAGCATTTCTGGCATGTAGAGAGTGATCTTACCGGGCCTGTTGATGTGATGATGTGGGATTTATAAAAAACAAAGAGATTGCAGAATATCAAAAACTTTCTCACACATAGAACTCACAGAAAAGAAGAGCCAACTCTGTCACCCTCAAGATGATTATCTGCTTCTAAAGAACAGGAATTACCAGCTTTTACCAGCTTTTTATAACTCATTAACACTATGAAGTCAGCTATCGAGACTGCTACTGTGCTGTTTTATTTTCCTTAAGCTTCTTAATTGCTGCACGTTATTTGTTACAGAAGTTTCAGTTCTTCCTGTTTTTGATTAGTGGTGGTTAAATTGTTTGATTCAATGCTGGAATACTCACAGCAGCTTCTGGGTACGATGCTTTGTTCTTATAATATGATCCAACTACTTTTAGCTTGCCTTTAATAAATAATTGGATTCAGAAATGAATCATTAGTTACCATTTCTGCTTATTAACATTTTGATTTTTCATTGTTGACTTAGCTGTTGTTGCAGGACTTGTTTTGCAGACCCGAATTGTCAAGCAAATATGCAATGGATAACAGGTAAAAAAGAGCTTGTTTTTATTAGATTATGTTCTCGAATTCAATCAAATATGAACATGTCTTTGTTCTAGAGAGATTATTACATGCGGAAACTGGACATAGAAAATCGTTCGATTTTGTCTCTGTGAACAACAGAAGCTCATAGAGACAAATCAGACGGTTCTTTGTCTCTGGTCTACGCACATAATATATATGAAACTAAAACATTTACTCCAAACTACAAGCATTTGATCCCTAAGAAGCAATTCGTCGAACAGCTTATAAGCAAACTATTGAAAATTGCTTTTGATCGGCAACAGATTCCAGTAACGTGACGCCTTGTGAAACAAGTGGTCCAGCTTGGAGATTCGAACACCCATCAGATTAATATTAATATGACATAAAGGTCCAAATAGAATTCGTTAATTATACAAACAATTTTTTTTTTCGGGGAGGGGATATGTGACCTAATAATTAAAAGAGAATATTATTTTTTAAAAATTTTAATGTATATTCATAGAGTTTATAATTTATCACTGATTATTTTCTTCTGGTGATGGTCTCAAAGAGGAATTTTTATTAGGTCCAGACACCTGACGTAGCTCTACATCCGGACGTCAATAATATGTCGTAATGTGCTCTTACTCTTTATTGTGCGGCCCGATGACCCGGACTCGGTATTGCTATGTATTGACTTATTTGTGTATTGCTAGGTATTGCTCGGTATTGTTCGGTATTGCTCAATATTGGTCAGCAATAATGATAAATACCACTCCGTTAAGTCCAATACCTAGCAATACCGAGCAATACCCCAGTTTTTCTAGGTATTGCTAGGTATTGCTCGGTATTGCTAAATATTGGTTTTGAAAGAGTGGTATTTCTCATTATTGTCAAGCAAAACCTAGCAATATCGAGCAATACCTAGCAATTCACAAACATAGCAATACCGGGTTCCGGTCTGGGTCGGGTCATCGGGCCGCACGGTAAAAAGTAAGAGCACGTTGTGACATATTATTGGCGTCCGAATGTAGAGCTACGTCAGGTGTCCGGAGGGCACATTTGATGAACTATGAAGTGTTCTGGATATCTTTTATTAGATTAAATGGCTTTTAAGGACAGTTTCATCTAAGACTCGATTCCCATTCATTTTTCTGTTCTTTCTTTTTTTTTTTTTCAGTTGTCTCTGCATTTTTCTGTGCGGACGCCGAACGCCGTCTGAAGACCAACTAGAATGCGTCAAGTCACTCATGTGCTCGATACCACGGCTAGTTACGGCTCGGTACCGCTGATGTGGCGCATTCTGGTTGGCGTTCAGTGTCTGGTTTCCGCATAGAATAATTTCTCCCTCTAAAGGGATTTAAATAAATCGTGTCTAGCTCGAGTCAAAGCTAAAAGGGAAAAAAAGTAACTTGATTAAAGCTTCATTTGGAACAGGTTTTTTCTTGTGTTCTAAAACAGCTTTCTGGTACAAAAATTTCTTGAATTTGAAATTTTTGCACTAATAAGCAGTTTTAAAAAGCATTATGAAAGCTGTCACAAATGAAGCATAATGCTTCATTTGGGATACTTTTCTTTCTACTTTTTAAAGCACTTTTTTACACAAATTTTTTGAACCAGAAATTTTTTTGCTAGAAAGCTACTCTACAAAATAGTGAAAAATCTATCCTAAATAAAACCTAAATAAACTAATATACAGTCAAATTTGAAAATTCTAACATGGAATAAGCTTTAACAATTCATACAAATAATATTTAAAGTAATAAAGTTTACAATATATATATATATCCCAACATAGCTCACCACAATTTCATAATAATATATCATATTAGCTTATAATCATAAAATATTTTATCTTATAAACAACATAAATCCCCACAATGAGAATATTTTCATCTCTCCATCATCAATCTGATCATATATCATTTGAGCTAATTAAAGAAGGCATCATAATTTACCCCCCAACCTAAAAAAAGTGTACAACTTTTAGAATAAAAAAATTACATAAATTCAAATTAAATATAATTAGTCAATTATGACAACTAAAAGTATGCACAAAGATAAAATTATCTTTCTGAAATCTTAAGGAATTATAATGTAATAACCTATAGATGAGTTACAAACATATTCATTTGTCTAAGGTTTCGTTTGGAACGGCTTTTTTATTGCTTTTTAAAACGGAGTTTTAGTACAAATTTTTTTATTTTTGAACTAAAACTCCGTTTTAGAAAGCAATAAAAAAGTCGTCCCAAATGAAGCCTAAATCATTCATCCAAAATCAAATCAGTCAAACTTTTCCCTAAAGAACAAATCAAATTTTCTTCCCACTCAAGCAAATCAATATTCACACATAAGAGAACTTCATACGTTGCTTAACTTACACTCTCAAGGAACCCAGTCATCCTTAGAACAGAAACCCTGATGTGGCTTAGCTTCCTCCATCCATTATCACCGCTACACACTGATCCAACTATTTCTTGTTTGAATCGTCTTGCCACTAATACATGCGGAGGTATTATCATATCTCCTAAAACCTCTTCCTCTTTCTCCCACCAATCGCCAACGATCGTCATTCTTTTCCTTTTTAGGATGTCGATCGGTGCCGAATTCACTTTTAGCTGACCATCATTGCTCGAAGAATCAAATTCACTATCATCACAACGACCCAAGGAAGAGTAATCATGGGAGGCCGAAGAATGATGATGTTTCGAGGGGTTGTCGGTTGCGATGGCCGGCCATAGCACATCGGCTTCTTGAAGCTCTTCTAACATTTCTAGTAGTTGATATGTTTGTGATGAAGATATTTTCATTTAGTTAGAGAAGTAGGTGGGGTTTATATATATGATGAAATAAGGGGTTTGATAATGTTGATTATTTGAAGAGAGGAAGAAAGGGTTTGGAGTGTGGGATCCGCTACTCTATTTTGTAAAGTGGTTCAAGCAATTGGTAGATTAGCTCACATATCACAGATTTAATTGCTTCTCTTTTCCTCCTATTTTGTTATACAAATTCAAATAAATTCACAATTCATTTATATTATATCATATTTAGATATGTTATATTTTATTTAAATAAAAAACATATATTCTATCCTTATAGATAATAAAATAGAATACATTTTATTTAAAACAAAATAATTAGATAAATTATTTTATATCTACATGAAGTATAATAATACTTCACAAATTTATTTAGTAATTTGCGAATTTATGGTGCATCATTTATTTTGAATTAAGAAACTAATATGAAAAATAATATTATTTTTCATAAAGAAAGATTAAAGGATTATCCATATATAGCTTAATTCTTAACGCATAATAAAATATAAAGAACAACTAAACCAGCAAAGAAAAAAGGGATTAGCGTTCTAAATAACGAGGGAAGGAAGAGAGAATGTTCAATAAAGTTTTGAAGGATATTTTTTTAGAGGATATAAATAGGGGTAGAACCAGCTGCCTTAATTTATTTATTTATTTTTTTTTTTTGGGGGGGGGGGGGGAATTTATAAGTAAAAGTGTAGAATTTGGCTCGAGACCTATTTGTTCATATCCTTGCTTCGCAGATATGTCGAGGGTCCAAGGTGGCAGAGCCACCCCCCCCCCTGAAGGTGCCAAGGGTGGGAGCCCCCCCCCCCCCCCCATCCCCCCACAAAAAAATTGTTTTTTGGTTGTAAGGATATTTTTGGATTTTCTTTACTATTTATTTTTGTATTTGGTTCATTGTTATCTAATAATAACACCTATACACAATGTGTTTAATTATGTTGGGGGCAATTGCCTAAATATCATAGTATTTTAGAACTTTTAGGGGATGAAATTGTCTAAAAATCATTGTAATAAACACTAAAAAATAGATTGAGTCATCCTAATAATTCTTAGGATTAGTTTGAGATGACTTTTTTATTGCTTTTTAAAACAAAGTTTTAGTACAAAAATTTAAATTTTTGTATTAAAACTCTGTTTCAAGAAGCAATAAAAAATAGTCTCAAAAGATGCCTTAATGGAGTTGAGGGCCTTTTAAGTAAATTTTGATATAACCTTTCTAATATTTTAATTTTCATATAAGAATCTGATTAACATGTCATCACACGTTTTCCTTCCTATTAAGATGATTAGCAAACCTATAACAATTTTATTGAGCTTAGCCACGCTCAAGCACTAGCAAGTCGGGCCTAAATCAAACCCAAAATTATTATAATATTATTTTGGTATAAATTGTATTTTAATTCAGCTCAAAAAAATATAAATTAAACAAAAAATTTAACAACTTTTTTAAAAATAATTTATTTTATAAAAAATAAATATATAAACATAAAAGTATAAAACCAAATTCAAATTCTACAAAAATATATTATTCGAATCATATTTAGAGTCCATAATGCTTTGCCCGAATTTTTTTTTCAGAGAATATATAATTTGTAAATTAAAATGTGCAAATTCTTTCTGATTTGATTTAAAATTCCACCAAACATCAATTAAAGTTAATGGGGATATATTAACATCTTTCATTTATCTTAAAATAAATTGGACGATTATAAAAAATTAAAAATAAAAATAAAAAAGAAAAGAATTTCCACGTCCAATAATTTTTAATAAATATTTTTTATTCGTCTGAATTTTTTTTTGGGAAAATTATTCGTCTGAATGATTATCCAACGATTTTAAATCGCAACGTGGCACGTTTCCGTCCGTTCAATCGCAATCCGCCACCACAACCAGCAAAATTTTATCACAGCCATAAATTGTTAATAAATAAAATTATTTAATTTATTGAGTGAGTAATTAATTTAGCCGAACACTCGAGAAAATCGACACGCGTCCCCGATCACCTATCCCATCCGTCACCGGTCGCGTCACCGACTGCAGCCATACTTCCTGCTCATCTTCCACTCGCTTCTCTTCTATTTATCCATCTGTAAGTGTCAGATTAGAAGCGAAGAAGGAATGGAGATCGCCGGCGACAGCGGCGGCGGAGGAGGCGGAGAGCTTACTGCGGCACCCTTCGTGGCGAAAACTTATCAAATGGTGTCCGATCCGGCGAATGAGGCGATCATCTCGTGGGGACGAAGGAACAATAGCTTTGTGGTGTTTGATACTTTCGCCTTCTCTAAAACCCTGCTTCCCGCCTATTTCAAACACAGCAATTTCTCTAGCTTCGTCCGTCAGCTCAACACTTATGTGCGATCTTGTTTGATCTAGTTTAGGGGTTATTTATTTGTTATTTCGTCCTGATGGCAGGATTTCGGGGGGGTTTTGCAGGGATTCAGGAAGGTTGAACCGGATCGATGGGAGTTTGCGCACGGGTCGTTTCTCCGTGGGCAGACGCAGCTGTTGTGCCATATCGTGCGGAAGAGGAAGGGAAGGGTAGAGGATTTTGAGATTGATGAAGAAGATGAGGCTGTGGCGATGGAGGTGTTGAGGCTGAAGCAGGAGCAGAAGGCGATTGAGGATAGGCTGGAGAGGATGTGGAGGCGAGTGCGGGAGACGGAGAGGAGGCCGCTTCAGATGCTTGGGTTTTTGCTGAAGGTTTTCGAAGATCCGCAGATGTTCGGGCGATTGAAGACCAGGGCGGGGGTTGGGGATGGAGAGGGAATCGGGTGGGCGAAGAAAGCCAGGCTTCGCAATGATTGCGAGCCGCCGCCGCCGCCGCCTCACATGCCGATACCGATGCCGATGCCGCGACCGTCGGCAACGGCGGCGTACTTTGGCGTTGATGCCAGTGGGTTTTGTGCCGAAGGAACGGGGGTTTTGGGATCGGATCTGGGAGTCGGGGGAGCGGCCTGGGGTTTGGATCCGTTCACTATGGGTTTTAAGTAATTTTCCCTTTGTTTTTCTCTCTTATTGCAGTGCCACTTTTTTTATTTTTTGAAAATTACCTCTTTTTTTTTCTTTCGCTCGGCACTATTATATAAATATTTTAATATTGAGTATCAAATGTTTTGCGATAAATATTCTTGAAAAATGTGCATAGTTAATGATTCAAAATAAGTTGTAGTGTGGCATATATCATCAGGAGAAAATATTTTGCATAGAGACCCTAGAGTGTCGTCATAGATTAATATGAGCCGCGGTACGAAGCACATGATAATGTGGTGCATTTTGTTTGGTCGTCGTCTGTACAGAATAATTTTTCTATCATCTAAGAGCATGTAAATATATTTTTAAGAGATGGCGCTAATATAAAGATTATCAAGAAGATTATAATATATTTGGTGGAATAAGATTTTATTTTAGATATTTTTTTATTATTTTTAAGATATTTTTTTATTAAAAAATTGCTTTACAAAATAGTAAGAATTAAGAAAGGTGTCTCAAATAAAACTTTTCATTACTTTTAAGATATTTTTATGCTAGATAATTGTTTTAGACGACGACAACAACAACAACATCAAGCCTTTATCCCACTCCTTGGGGTCGGCTACATGAATTCTTTTTCTTCATTGTGTCCTATTAAAAGTCAAATTCTCGTTTAAATCTAATAAAGAAAGATCATTCCTAATATTTTCTAACCAAGTCTTTTTAGGTCTACCCCTACCTTTCTTAACATAAGTCAAATCTAATACCTCTACTCTCCTAATCGGGTCATCACAAGGCCGTCGTTTTATGTGACCAAATCATCTAAGACGACTTTCTCTAATCTTATATTCTACTGGAGCTACTCCAACCTTTTCACGTATATGCTCATTTCGTATCCTATCTCTAAGGGTAAAGCCACTCATCCACCTGAGCATCCTCATCTCTGCCACACTTAACTTAGTATTATGCTTCTCTTTTAAAGGCCAACATTCGGCACCATAAAGCATTGCAGGCCTCACTACCATCTTATAGAATTTCCCCTTAAGTTTGAGGGGTACATTTCTATCACATAACAAGCCCGATGCATTCCGCCACTTCAACCATCCAACTTGAATTATGCTGATAATATCACAATCTATTTCACCATCACTCTGAACAACAGATCCAAGATATCAAAACGTGTACTCTTATTAATGACTTGATCGCCCAAAGTCACAATCCCCTCACTAGGTCTATTACTACTAAAATTACACTCCATATATTCCGTTTTAGATCTACTCAAGCGAAAACCTTTAGACTCTAAGGTTGACCTCCATAATTCAAGTTTACCTTCAACTCCCTCTCTAGTCTTATCAACAAGAAGAATATCATCAGCAAAAAACATACACCAAGGTACATCCTCTTGCAAATGTCTAGTGAGAACATCCATGACTAAAGCAAAAAGATATGGGCTTAAGGCTGATCCTTGATGTAACCCAACCGAAATAGGAAAATACTTGGTCAATCCACCTTGTGTTTGAACACAAGTAATAGCTCCTACATACATATCTTTAATGATTTGAATATAAACATTATTGACTCCTTTCTTTTCAAGAACTCTCCATAGCACTTTTCTTGGAACTTTATCATATGCTTTTTCTAAATCAATAAATATCATATGTAGATCCTCTTTATTTTCTCTATATTTCTCCATCAAACCTCTTAATAAATGTATGGCTTCCATAGTCGACCTACCCGGCATGAATCCAAATTGATTTTGAGAAACATTAGTATCACGCCGCAACCTATGCTCCATAACTCGCTCCCATAGTTTTAAAGTATGACACATAAACTTAATACCTCTATAATTCGCACAATCTTGTGCATCACCTTTATCTCGAATTATTAGAAAGTAATAAAAAAAAATATCTCGAATTATTAATAATTTTTTTTAATTGATTAAATTAGAGCTAATTGGTGAGCCACAAAGTGCAGCCTTTGAAGGTGGCATGATGGGCATAGCGATACAAAGAGACTATTAGTGGATGTGGACGTGGATTATCGCTATCATTTCTTTTTGATGTTATCCCAATGTGCTCTTACATCAAATCAAACACGTTTCGATATTTTATTTTTTTGGGGTACGTTTCGATATTTTATAGGAGCAAAATTCTTATGAATGCGACATTTTAACTGTATTAGACGATTATGATCCTAATTTTTCTGCGAAGAATAAAATTGGGGGAAATCATAATCAATTAAAAAAAATTAAATTAAATTAGTAAAGAAATTAAATTTTATGTAATTTGATTAAAGAAAATTATTTTTACTATTTTATTGTCAAATGACAAGTTTGATATATTCAGAAAAAAAAAACATTCTTATTAGTAGAAATATTTATAATACTGAGGAGAGAGAGTTTATCGTTTTAGTATTAATTATATAAAATTTGACTCACCAATATGGAGAAATGGAGCTCCAAGAAATTAAAATGAGATAATTTTCAAATAAAAAAATTAGGAAGAGAAAAATTATGGGCCAAAGTCAAAGTGATAAAATAGTTCATGAAAATTATAAGATAAGATGAGATTGCAATGTCTGTGGCTTGATCTCTTATGAGATTAATTAGTACAAAATATTAGAAAATAATAAGGGTACGGTAGGCGTCGGTGTCAATTGACGACTAATAAAGTTGATCAGACGATGATGTTCTTTAGCTTATACTAACTGTATGCAATAATATATGAGTGATTGTATAAGTTGGTGTTCGCTATTAAAGGCGATGACAAACAAACAATGATAGCTGATTGATGTTAGAAATTTATTTGTGTTAGATGTTAGCGAATAGCGATTTTTTATGATATCACATGTTGTGATCATCAACATTGATCAATTGACAGAGTTTTAGGATGATTTAAATCCAAAAACTCTTTCTAACCAATATCCCGATAAAATTTTGTGTGGAACGAAGGCCAATTTATAGAGTTTTAATGGGGAATTTTTTTCTTGGTTTTTGAAAATCTGTAATAGCTAATCAAATTACGAAAAATTATATCCTTAAACATTTGATAATTTAAGCAATTAAGTGCCTAAATAACATTAATATTGAGGGATATTGAGTTCTTTAGATTTTTCGTATGAAGAAATACATTTCTATTATAAATTTACTAAAAATGTATTTCGGATGATCCCAAAATTAATTTTAAAAATTTTTAATTCAATTACTAGCATGCATATTTTCTCTTGATCGGATGAATTTTCTAATGAGATATGAAATATAATAATACATCTTTAGTAACAAATGCTACTTTTTTTCTTATCCATTTATTTTATTTGTGGAGCTCTAGTTGTGTAATGGAAATTAGATTTTTTTGTTTTTTAATCCCACCATAATGTGCATGTTTGGTGAATATTCACGTGATATTTCTACATGGGCAAATATCTTATAAAATATCTTTTAGATTTAGACTCAAATACCCCTAATAAGGGATAACCCATAATATATTTGTCAAAATTTAATATTAGTAATCTCATTTCTTTATCTATGTAAGTTATCTCTTTTTATCGATGTTGAATTTATTAAAATTAATTTAATTAACATGTTTCACATATTAAGATTTGTGTTTTTTATTGAAGCTTGGCTCTTAGCAAGTGCCATAGAACACCAAACCATCATAACCTTGTGTGCCTTAAGGGACTCCTCTTTTTTAAGGGTGAGATTTCATATACTCTTAGATAGTTCAATTGAGTATGACAGATATCTAAGCAAGATTCAACTGTATTTTGGTGCCTCTAAATTGAATTAGGCTAGGCATCACACCTATGAACAAATTTTCGTATAAATCATTCAAACTAGGACGTTAAACCTTTAGTAGTCACATATTTTAAGCCTAGATTATGATCAAGCATTTGTGCACATTTGAGACTTTTAATTCTGAACGTACAAAACCCATATATCTTACTTTGAAATAAAGAATCCTTCGAACAATACCACCTAGGTCTACTTAGGATATTTTATAAGATGTAATCCATAGCTTCTAAGTAAAACTATTAGTGATATTACTTTCTCTTTATCATTAATAGATAAGTTCCTCTGTACTGACTCAAGATACTAGAATCGTGAACAAGATAAATATCTGTCACTTTTTGTATATAAATTAGACTTTCTGCATTCTATTAAACTGAGTCTACTTAGTAGAATTCTTACTTGTGCAAGAAATATTATAAACAATAGAGTGAGTATGAAACTCAATAGACCACACTCCCCTCTTAACAAAGTTCAATTCACAACTCAATATGAATATAAATAAAATAATAAAAGTATCATTTACTTTATAGTTTGGATATATTAGTTCTTATATGAAAGTGAATCTAGAAATGCACATACATTAATGCCCCTTATAACTCTCAAATTCCATACCCAAACTGCTAAAGACATGTGTAGAGCAAAACCAAAACAGAGTAGTGTATATTCCAATACAGAGTCAGCTCAGAACTAGAACCAAGCAGAGTAATCCAATATATATATTCACTTTGGGCGCAAACAGAAAATTTTAGAGTTTACTTCTTTTCCGCAAAAAAAAAAAGCTCTAGAGTTTCATAACATGCAAATGAAATTTGTGACCGAAGAATTTAAAACAAATAGAAATTAAATTTGAGCTTCTATAAAAAACCCTATATTTCAAGTGCATGTACAAAGTTCTTAGAATTTTACCAATTTTACAGAGATCATGTAAAATGTTAAATAATATACTTTGTCAACTATATTGAGGTTCAGAGATGTCATCATTTTTAAGAATCATAAAAAATTCATACAAAAAGAACTGATAGGTGAAATTTTCTATTCTTACTATCAAATTGTCTAGAATGGAGAATATAACAATATACTAAAAGTTATACAATGAAACACTTCCCAAACTCAAGAAAAACACGTTTAAAAGAATATCTCTTAATAAACACTTGGGAATCAAAATAAAAAATAAGGTATGGGTTGCCTACATTGAGTATGACAATTTTCACAAATATTTAAACTGATGATTATTTCTGGAGATTGGCTTTCAAAATCCTTCATTTTCTTTCTTTTTCCATCCCTTTCCCTCCGTTCGTCCTCAGCAAGCTGAAGGCGAAATGAGTTTTTGCAAATTGATCAAGATACTTTTAATATTTAAAACTAAATCAGCCTAGCAGCGTGATGTCTGAATTCCCAATACCTCAACACCCATAGAGAATCTTCCAGATTCTCTCATGCCTTGACTCGGCACTGTAGTGGCGCCACATTGCTCAACCAAAACTAAAATTTTTTCCTCTTTTTTTTTTAGATCGAGATCTCCATAATAGGGCTCCGTCAAAACCGGTGCCGCAATGCCACACAGAAAAATTCAAAATTTTATTTTTAATTAACGGAGAATTGCCTGAATTTCAGATGACTGATATCACAATCATATTAAATATAAATGATGTTTTTACTAACACCCTCAATATTCTAATGAAACTTAATACGCTAATTAACTAGTTGAGTTATTACAATGATATTACTCTAGTAATCATAAATAAGTGGCAAGGGCATTTTTATTCAGACAAATATTCTTTAAAATATCTTTTAGATAAAAAAAAATACCCTTAATTAGAGAGAACTCATCATAACCTTTTGTGCCTTAGGCTGCTTCTCTTTCATGTGAGATTATGACAAATATTTGAACTAGTTTCAATTGGGTCCTTGTGCATTTGAATTGAATTTGGTAATGTCACATCTTTGAATGAATCTCAATATAAATTATCCATGCCAATGATATGCCTTTAGTAGTCACATTTTTTCAACTCTGAATTACAATCAAGCATTCATATACCTTTAGGACCTTTCCTATCTAGAACAAATTATACACCTCACTTTAATGGAAGTATACTTTGGTCTAGTGCTACTTAAATCTACTATTGATATTTTATAGGAGACAATCCATCGCTTCCATGGAAGTATCCTTAAATCTACTACTTAAGTCTACTATTTAAATCTGCCTCACTTTAATGGAAGTATCCTTTGGTCGGAAAACCGCCGGAAATATCAATTTCCGATGGATTTTTGGGCATTTTCCGGTGGAAATGGCCATAAAAAATGACGTTTTTCCTGTAGAGAATGAAACTCGTAGGTGATATTAATTCCCTTTGTCATTAATAGATTTGTTCTACTAGATTGACTTAGATGTTGGAATCATAATCAGGTTAAATATATATTACTTTTAAAAAAAATATTAACATCTAGACCCAATGGACGTCTTTAATCGACGCATTATGTTCAACATGTAAATAATCATGAGAGTTTTTTCCTACGAAAAATCTCAATCTTCAAATATAACATGAGGAAATCCTTAAGTTCCCATTCAATATGCCATTGGAATTTTATGACACTCTACCTAAAACATGAACAAAAATGTAAAAATTTCTCAAAATTCATTAGTCTTTCAAAGCCCACACTACAAACCAGTGCCATATTGAAGCACAATTATGTCATTCTATTTACACCCTCAATATTCTAATGAAATTTAAATTTGCTTGGACTAATAAGGTTTATTACAATTATATTACTCTACATCTCCTAGTATATTGTCTAGAAAGGAAAGACATTTTATAACAACCCCAAAAAACTTCATGCTAAAAAAAGTTCATAATTTTGACATATATCAACTCTTTAAATAATTTAGAACCCTCTCCACTGCATTCATATGCCAATATCTTAAGAGATTATTTTGTGCAGAGTCCGAACTCGTCCGGAGGCCAATCCGGACGAGTTACGTCATCCAATGCAATATGCATTGGGTGATGTGGCGCATCCAAATTGACCTCTTGACACGTCCAGACACCGCACGTAATAATTTTTTCAATATCTAATCTCTTCCCTTCTAGCTATCATAGTTTCCATATGTGGCTTACCCAACAAAAGAAAAGTCTTGTATATTCAGGTCAATTTAGAATTCTCAATGTGAAAAATCAAATTGTTAAGGTTACATATGTGGAATTGCTAAGACCAAATTTTTGTTATAAAATTATGTTTATTTGTAACAATACAAAGCCATCACAAGCTATAAAACAAAGAGTTGGCAATATATATACAACAAATTAAGCTCCTGGACAAAAAGTCTATTCTTGACAATTCATGCATATTTATGGTTTATTTCCATGAAGAAAACCTGATCTCCAGTACCTGACATCTCTTCCACTAAGGTATAGGCTGTCTGTTGCTAGGAAGAAGATTTACTTGCAGAAAGCTTCGAGAATCAAATGGAGGCATAACTTCACAATCATTTCTTGTTGAAGGCAGCATGTTCATCTGATGCTGCTGCACTCTCTCATTCTCAGCAATCTGAATAATTTATAAGTTTCAGACAGAAAAGTAGTGATAAAAATTCAATCTTTCAGTGCATTAATGCAGAAAAATAAGGAAGTTTCCATTTATTTCTATGTATGATTCAATTTACAGAACAGTAGACCTTATTTCGTAAGTACATGTTATCATTTTGCAGCTCCATTTCCTGCAACAAAAGCAGAAACAAACACCCATTTCAGTTTCAAGTGTTTATATATAATCTATTTTCTTGGAGCTAAATTTGCTTGCTGCTTTTCCAGCTGCAAAAATAAGCAGATATATAGAAAGCAGAAAGGAGAGTTTGGTGGATTAATAGGAACAAGCTTCTTGTTTTTACGTACCTTCTTCTGCATGTACTCGATCTCATTATACAGCAACTCATTCTGATACAAATAAGAACATATAAACATTATTTCATTCTGGGGGAAGAACTTAAACTTTTTTTTAGAAATAAATAAGGCTTAAACCTTTTTAGATCTTATTTTGCTGATGCCTTTCTCCAGTCTAGTTTCTAGTTGTTTGAGGTCCCTTAAGTTCATTGTGCTGAGAGCCTCTCCCATCAAATTCCTATAGGCATATAAGGATTCTGTAACATATGGAATTTATAAACGGAGAATAGTGAAGTGGACTGTATGTTAATTTATTACCTGTTTGAGTTCTGCAAATTAGTGATTTGCTGATGAAGTTTTGAGGCTTCTTGCTCGTAATACTATAAGGTCAAAGTAGAATTATATCAAAAGAAGAATAATTTAAAATAAATTGGATCCCTGAATATATCATAATGTACAGGTTAGTAAAAAAATCTTTAGAACTAAAAAATTTATTTTAAAAAATAATAAAAAAGCTGTCACAAATAAAGCCTAAAATTATTGCAACTAAAACAATTTTTTTCATTTGAGACAGCTTTCTTACCGAATCAGCAAGAATTAATGTCTTCTTCCTAAAACTTAATATATAATTTGATCGTAATATTTCCATATTACTAATAGAATTAAAAGATTAACAAAATAACATTAAGTTCTTTAAATAAAATTGAAGAAGTTTTTCTTAGAATGTCATGTCCTGATGCTTTCTTTCTTTTATAAAACCTTGATGACAATTATTGTTGTAAAAGATAATTTAATTAGGAAAAGTTAGGCTTTGTTTGGGACTGCTTTCTTGCTGCTTCTTTAAGCAATTTTTTAGTATAAAAATTTAAATTTTTGTATTAGAAAGCAGCTTTAAGAAGCAGAAAGAAAGCCGTCCCAAATACAGTCTTAATAGTTCAGGATTTATTTAGAATAGTTGTAATGTTTTATAAAGTTGTTTGTGAAGTTATTATGAAAAAAACCATTACGTTATTATGATTGCTGAAAACTTCTTTCCACTACATAAATTCTTAAAAAATAATGAAAATGGAGAAGAAATTAGATGGGAAACTAAGAAATTAAATATGACCAAGTATATATGTGATATTATAGATTAAAACAAAACGCACCTGTGAATTTGTTTGAGAAATCGTTCTGGTATTGGAATGATCAGAGCTAGCCTTCTTGTATCTCTCAATAGTTCCCTTTACGCTATGCAAAGCAAACAAAAGAAATCAGCAGAGTTAAAAAAGTTCTGGGAAAGTGGCAAGTGTTAGGAGTCTCTTTTGAAGAATGAATTTAATTTAGGCCACTTGCTTAAATTAAAACCTATTAAATTTTTCATAGCATATAATGAGATTTTGATATTATATAATCAACAACAACAATATCAAATCTTTATTGATCCAGCTACATAGAGGCTGCTACATGAATCATCCTTCTCTATTGTGTCTTATTAAGAGTTAAATCTCATTTAAGTCTATTAAGAAAAGATCGTTTCTAATAAATCTCTAACAAAATCTTTTTAGGCCTTCCTCTTCTTTTTCTTAACAATGACCAGACTTAATAATCTACTCGATCTCCTAATTGGGTTTTCGAGAAAAGTTAAGATTTTAGGTGACCAAATCATCTAAGACGACTCTTTCTAATTTTATTTGCCACTCGAGCAACTCCAACTTTTTTTTAAAAAAAATATTAAAGACCTTATTCTATTACTGAAAAGGGCTATACAAATATAAGCCAACAATACTAAGATACGCAATCACAAAGCTTAAAATACCATACCACAGTAAGCTACCATACCACAGTAAGCTACATATTTCCAAGCAATCAGAAAATGAAAATAAATAAAAAATGGAAGAGAACGAAAAAGACGGCTGAAGCCCATCAGACTTAGAATCGCCACCCAATTGTCAAACTTGGACTATCCATTGAAGACAGAGAATACAACAAGAAGTCCCAATACCAACCAGAAAACCACCAAGGTTGCCAAGACATACTTGTTTCGCATTGGGACAATTAATTAATACTGCGTACATGTAGTCTTCACTCTCTATTTGTATCATTTTTTAAGAGGAGTTTGAGCTACTTCTATTTCTCAAAACTTATAATGATCGAAATACCTATAGAATTGCTAATCAAAGAGGATCTACCCTAAAGTTTTTAAAAAATTTATGACAGCTTGAACACCACAGCACAATAGCTATTTGTTTTGCAATATCTTTATATATGATGTGGAGCATCACTAGCTACATAAATCCTTACAAATAATTTATCCTTTGTTAGCTCAGGTGTATGTTTTCTAGAGTATTCTATTATGTCGATATATACAAGATATTGTAAGAAAGGAGGGATCAATGATGAATATTATACGATTTTAAGCCGTTGAATTTGTTTTGTTCTCTTATTTTTAGAATTTCTTCAAGCATCATCTTCTTTCAACGATCCAGCGATTATCTCCCCACATCACTTTATAGTTATCCCTAAGATTTTTAGAGCAATCCAAATTGCGGCAAAAATTCTTCTGCATTCCTCAACTTGATCTTTTATTTCTTGTAATGATTTAGCATATGGATTTTTGAATTATTACTCTCCATTCTTTATATTGCAAGCCGAATATTGAGCTATATCCTTAGTAATCTTGATTTCAGAGCCACATAGTATTGATTGAACTGTAGGTGTATGTGAGGCTGGAATCTTGTCAGAGAAGGGACAGTTCACTAGGCTTACTTCTTATCAAAAAATTTAGCCAAAAAAAATCATGAAACATCTTAATTGTGATCCTAAAAAAGGTTTTTGCTATAAGGAAGTATTCATTATGCAGTATTAATTATGTGCATCATTATCTTATAATTAATTAAAATATTTTTTAGCTTAAAATTTCTCATTAACAATATAGCTCCATTAGTAGAAAATTTTCATGATTAATATTAAGAACTCGTTTGAGATAGCTTTCTTATTATTTTTTAAAGCAGTTTTCTAGTATAATTTTTTTTGGCATTGAGCCTATTTTCATCACTTAATCATGGTCCTTATTATAAACATTGCCAATCTATGATTTTGACCTTATGTTGTTTTTGTCCAAGTTGAGATGGATATATCTTGTAGCTTTGAGAAGATGTTTTAGTTGGGTTCTAAATACAATGGATGATTCAAAAAGTTGAGTTTTATAAAATTCCCTTCATTTTCTCCTATTACTTCATTTTTTTTTAATTTTAATTCCCATTATTCATTTTTTTAGTGAAAAATCAAATATTATAGTTTATTGCAAGAAAGTTTACATGTAATCAAATATCAATTAAATGAAAGCATCATTCAAAATAAATATCTTAGACATACTTGAATCAAGCAACATATAGCAGTACAAAATGAAAAGTGCAGATAAGCTCCATGCAAAACTGAAACTAAAAAGGCTTAAATCAATCTGCTTCATCAATGACCTTCGTTCCCAGGCCCTTAAGACTCTTGGGAGAGACCACAACAACTGTCACAAGAGAGTATAATCCCCCCTTGGCATCTTCTTCATCATTCCTCTTGCGAGCAATCCTCACGCGAACTTGCCTGGGGACGCTGCGGATACCCCTGCTTTATATGATCTGCTTATTCATATTTACATCGATTCTAATATCGACTATCTTCATTGCCTTTTGTGTGAATTTTTTTATCTCCTTTATAGCCTTGGGGGCTTTTTTCTTGAAAATGCATCCATGGATCCTTTTCTAAAGATTGATAGTGTACTCTAGTGACAACTTCATACTTCCCTCCTTTGCTACCCTTTCCAACCATTCTCACTGCCGCTTATCTTACTAGCTAAAACCCTAATCTGTTGTTTTGTGCAGTTGTAGTTCCCATTACTTCATTTACTATCATTAGGGTGTCAATTAGGGTTGGAGGGTCAGGTTCAAGTCTAACCCAAAATTGACCTAGCCCGAGTATACTCAATCTAAGCTTGACTCGTTTATCCCGACTAACTTGAATCCAGCCTATTTGGCCTATTTAATATATAGTTCAACAATTTTTTAGATCATCATAACTTGTTTACTAAAAAATTATCCATTTAACTCAAACCCAACTTATTTAACTTGAGCCCAAATAATAACCAAACTAAATTTAGATTTCAACCCAAATGATAACCCAGCCTATTTTTGACTATATATTTTATTAATGGATGCATTATATATATAATTTAAATTATAAGGTATAATCCTTACTACCAACATGAGTAAGGTGATATAATAAAATAAATAAAATATTTATAAATGTCTGAAATTTTATCATTTGAGACCTACCAATTGCATAATAAAATTAACTATAAGGATGCATAAATTATAAATCTTTTAAAAAAGTTATAAACCAACCAAAAAATTTATATAGGCCTATCAAAAAATTTATAATTCTACCAAAAAAATTAGTGAGCTTTGAAATAGAAGATCAATCTAACAAAAAGATTATAAATCTGTATTAGAAAAATTCATTTAAACTTAAATGTAATATAGATCTAATAATCTCTTAAAAAAAAAAAAAGAACCCTAAACTTCACAAGCCAAAATCAAAGAAGTTTATAGATAATGTGAAGTAATTGGGAGTAGAGCTGCAAACGAACCTAGCCGAGTCGAGTATGTGCATGTTCATGTTTGAGTTCATTTATCATCAGCTTGTTTAAGTTCGATTCGAGTTTGATTTGAACTTTTTTGTTTGTGTTCAAACTTGGTTCGTTTAAAACAATTGGTGTTCATGTTTGATTCATGTTCAGTTTATTTCATGCTTATCAAGCTTTAAACAAACGAGTCTTATCGAGCTATAAATGAGCTTTTCTTCTAGATGTACCAAACGAGTCTTATCGAGCCTCGCTCCTAACAAACAATTACATCGAGCATATTCGTGAACATATCTAGCAAAATTTTTTAAACTATCAAATAAGTTTGATCACAAACATATCTAGCTATCAAATGAGCTTGTTCATGAACATATCTAATTATTATTTTTTAGCTACCAAATGAGCTCGTTCCTCACAAACAAACGATCTATAATTCATCTTCTATTTGTTTAGAGAGTGGGTTGTTCATGATTTTAACTAGGCTGATGTGGGATGTAAAAATATATTATATATTAAACAATTTTAAATGGTATATGTGAGAATAAATTATTAAATTATTAAATTTAACAATAGATATTTTTAAAAACTCTAATATAGTTCTAATCGAGCTTCTTAACAAGCTTGTTCATGAGTGCTAAACGCTAATGTTCATGAACATAAACAAACTGAATGCCAAGTTGTTCAATTTCATTTATTTAGCTATTGAGTATTTATCAAATGTGTTCAAGCTCGTTCGTTTTCCTTATCAAAGAAACATGATAGAGCTCATATTGAGCTGAGCCACGAGTAGCTCGTCAAACCCTCGATTCATTTGCAGCCCTAATTGGGAGGAGAGAGGGAGAGAGAGATAAGGGATGACAAAGTTTAGGAAGAAACTAACATGCATAATGTTTTATTCAGTTTTTTTCCAAAACTTTAAATCAACCTATACATTCTATTTATAGGAATTTATATGTGCTAGCATGAGGATCAACCTAATCTCGAACTGGACCATTACATAACAATTTTCAAAGAACCACATGTGCACCTACTGCGATCTAATTGGCTTATTGCTTTAACTCCGCCAACAATCCTACAACTTTCTAAGGCTATGATAGATATGTTATCAATTATTTAGCCAACTGCTAGGATTAAACTAATGTTTTTGAGTTCGGTCATGCCATATGGCCAACACATACATTAGGCTTGCAATATCCTTTTGAACTCGATCATTATATCTGAATTTTATTATTGTAACTATTTTACTTGCATGTGTAAACTTTTGGAGTTTATTTATTTATTTGTGAATTGTGATGGATTTGTAACAGATATATGATATATTATAAATTTGTAATGGATTAATGAATTTCCAACTTTATAGTGAAACTAAAATCCATTGATTTTTTGTTTCTCACATATTCTAGTAATGTATTATGTCAGTTTAGTCTGGCCTCATTTGTCAATAGTTGTGAATATATTCATTTATATATTGTTATTTAACTTTTTCCTTAAAGAAATTATGTGAATGAGAGAGAAAAACTATTTTTATATGAGCATTATAACGTTACAACTTTTTTTTTGGGACATTTAGGTCATTTAAGTCAAATTCATACACACAACGCATGCACAAAGGCTCGAACCCAAGACTTCTTAGTTAGAAGCCTATGCTCTTAACCAACATGATAAGTTGAGCTGTGTATAACATTTCAACTTATTCAAATTTCTTTTGAAATATAAATTGTGTGCAAACTCCTATAAATGAATCCTTGCATTTAAGCATTCCAACCATGTCTTACCTTAGTTTCCATGAAGATCTAATTGGCTCACTTCTGCGAAGCTGGCCTGGCATGCCATGATTAGACGCGGCGTACCAACCACATTCTCTATTGCATGTCATTTTTTAAGGACATTTAGGTCAATTAAGATAAACTAACACACATATCACATACGCAAGATTCAAATTCAAGACCTCTTGGTTAATAGTCAAAGCTCCCAATCAACCAACCAAGTTAAGTTGCGTGCCGCACGCATCGTACTACTCTTTACCCGTGGTGCAATCACCATCTGTTGTTCCCCGGCCATCTATCCTCATGCTTCGTCCCCCTTAATTATTTATATATCCATTCTGCTCTCTACTAAGTTGTATACTCTTCTACTCTACTATAACTGATGAATTATTGGAGAGGGAGTGAGGAGATGGAAGAGCGGCAGTAGGGTTATTCAAGGAGAAAAATGGGCATATTTTTTAAATCAAAATGTTGTAAATGAAGTCTACTTATTGTGATTATCATCTAATTTAAAAAAAAAATATTTAACACTTTGACTAAGTACCTATAATCAATTTCTTCCAGCATTATATTTGAACCTCATCCAATACGTTTTTTTTTTTTAAATCATATTATTATTTTGAAAATAAATAAATAAATTAATTGATTAATTACTAAATTCTTGTATAAATGACATATTATATGATATCATGTTAAAAATAAGATAAGTGGCCAAAATATAAAAAAGAAATATCTAATATATTTCTAGCATGTTTTATTAAATTGTATTAATTTCTTATATGAATAAATAATATAGGTGGATTAATTTACAAACATATCAGTTAATTCTTATATATTTTGATATTTTAATACATAAGTTTTTCTATTTATATAAAAAAAAACATTTCAATCTTTGAATAACATGAAATAAAAATAATAATATCAAAATATCCTATTATAAAATGCATTAAAAATTTAAAATGAGCTTAAAACACTTGAACTCATATGGAAATTAATGATATATATAATATGGTGACATCAATATCAGAGTATAAACTAAGATATCAATAGGAGGCTTACAAAATCTCTATTGATGAAGAAAGAACGAAGTAGGACTAAGATCTTAAGCAGAAGAAACTCCTCGTACTGTAATCTAGATCAATAAAGCTCTGATTTTGATCATTTTTAGAAACTCGAAAGATGAAGAAAAGAAAAAGAAGGGGACGAGGAGGCTTATTTTTATTATATTATGGGAAAAGGAAGAAAAAAAACTCATTTAATTGTTCTTTTGTTTCTTCTTCTCGTCGTTTTCTTCTACTAAACAACCTGCAGTTTTGGTTTTACATCTCAAATCTCTTGAAAAGAAAACCCAAGCAGGTTAGAGATGGGACAGATGGTGAAAAAATCTATTTTTATGAAACCATGGAACTTAGAAGGTTAGCTTCATGCTCTTCATTACGAAAAAAGAGTTAATTGGTGATTAGTATTGCGGTTAGAATTAATTAAACAATTTTAGTTGGCGTTAATATTGTGTATTTGCGATCAATATTGACCTATATAAGCATATCTCTCACATAAGAAGGAAGGAAAATAGCAAAAAATGACCCCTTTTATGCAACTTTTTGTCTTCACAGATCATAATAATTAAGAAAGGAACCAACGTACGTAAGATAATTTCATAGAAGAAAGAACGAAGCTTAATTGAAAGCTTGGAATATTACACTTCATTTCAAAATTATACTAATTAACGCATCAAATTACTCAATCAAAATTCCTTTTTTTTTTCTTTGAAGGGGAGGAAGAGAGAGAGAGGGGTAAACCTATTGTTGGCATATTCGTAGAGTCTACCGCGGCTGGAGAAGATGACCAGCGCCACCTCAGCGTCGCAGAGGACGGAGAGCTCGTAAGCCTTCTTAAGAAGACCGTTACGACGCTTACAGAAGGTAACTTGCCTGTTTGTGGTGTTCTCTATCTTCTTGATCTCTATCTTACCTCTTCCCTTCATGTTCCTTTCCATGGCTCCTGCGTAAATCAAGAAAAAAAAAAAACCTTCAAAAAACAATCCCTTAAGATCAAAATCACACCTTTCGAAATAAAAATTCAAACTTGTTGCAAAAGCTGCGATTGGAAGTCTAAATTATGTTCTTCATCTGATCTCTTACCTGCAATAGCTGATCAGTTATATATATCTGCTTATTTTTTCCTCTCTTTGTATTGCAGGAAAGCTTATCAGTAATCTATGGAGATTTATTAATGAACTCAAGAGCTACACCTTCTCTCTCTTTCCACTTCTGGAGTGGCCGGAAATCTGAAGTTTATGAACTCAGCCAGCCATGGCCATCGGTTTCAAGGATGATGGTATGACTAGAGATGAAGGGGTGGGAGAGAGAGAGAAAGAGAAAGAGAGGAACTTAGAGGAAGAGATTAGTGCTGCAATTTGAATACAACGTTAGGTAAAGTTGCACTCAGGCTAATATATCCAAAGAAGAAGGAAACAAGAAGGGATGGGGGAAGGGTGAAGGGAACGATGACTCCTTTTACTTTTGATTTCTTCCCACATCACTTAGGACTTCTCTATTTGGTTTATTCATTTATTTTTTTCTCTAAGATTCATGTCCTAATTCACACAGATCACTTTTTCTTACTAGAAATAATCCTCGCAGTAGTTTATACTTGCTAGGTTCTTGGCCTTCAAGCCAGAAACAAAATAAAAAATTTCTTATAATGAATTCCTTATATTGTACTGAGATTTATTATTTTTTAGTAAAGGATTCTGTCAAATCTTACTGTAAAAATATTTCTGATATGTTTTTTATAAGGAGCTCGTTACATAATTTTATGTTTGGCCTTGTATGATGAATAGACATAATCACGTTGACATAAAAATGACAAATCATGAATGCATTATGATAATTTTAAATAGCATAGACATTGACAGGGTTAGACATGCGATGGAGCTATGTATGGTACAATAGATTATTCAGTGATGCTATATGGATCCATTGCATCAAAGATAATTTTTTTAGCAACTAATATAGAATTTTAAATCAGATATAAAAATTAATATGAAAATATCACATAATAAATCATGAACAAAAACTTGTAATTAATTTTAAATATTTTAAAATTTAACATAAAAGCCCTCTATATCTAAAAGCATATTATATATATATATATATACTTTCAAATAATTCAACATTATTTTTACATGCACATCCTTTCATTTTTTTTTCTTCGATGCATTGTGCATGATTGTATCAATTAGTTAAAATACAAAAAGAAGAAAAAAATCATTTTCATAATTAAAAAAAATAATCAAAATTATAATTACCATCCTTTCATAGAATTGCTAATTCTATATATAAGTTTATAATTAGAAATGATGTGCGCTAGAAAATTGTTTGATGTAGAGTAAGAATTTTACGTCTAAATTGTAAGAATCTGAAAAATATGAAAAAGTATTTTAAAATAAAATTTTAAAGTTCCGTTTGAACTAGAGCGCTTCGGCACAATGCTTGGTAGCACTGCGATGCTAAGATTGAGAGCACAACATCTCTAGAAATCTAGAAATCACCGCCGCAACATTTGAGGCTTTATTCTGTAATAATTCTTAATTCAGCATACAACATTGCTGCACTAGATCGGAGCGCTGCGGCACTAGGCCAATAACAGTATTTTTTTAATTTTTTTATTCTAAAATATAAGCACTAATTAAAGCCGCCAGCCCCTTCTACCTCCCCATTTCGCTTGGCATGCCATGGAAGAAGAGAGGTAAAGGGAGAGAAAGATGAGAGAAGGAAGATAGAGAAAGCTAGATTTATGTCATTTTTCATTAGTTAATTGCTTCAGTTATGTAAAGTTTTCTGGTTGTTATATGTAACCTGATAAATCTCACTCTGATTTTTAATGATTTGAGTTTGATGAATTTAATCTCTCCTAAATCGATAAAATTATATTTTCTAATGTATTGCACTTTTATCATGCAACATTTCGTATATGATGGATATAGATTTTGTGAATATTTTAATTTAAATATTATTAAATTTCATAGGTTAAAATAAAAGTTATAATTTTCTGAAGTAATAAAAAATAGACATATTTTTTATATTATATAGATTTAAACATTTCATGAGTTTTTCTGTTGTGATTCGAGAACTAGTAGCTGTTTAGTCCATTCCTGGAAGTGTTCGTATTGCACTTGGAGTTGGCAAATGGTGTTTTTGCTTTTGGCTATGCTTCAGTTTATGTTATATATGGGCTATAATACCAAGGGTGATGTTCATCTGATCCTGTCTCATTATTGCCAAATTGATTTTGTGGTTAATTACTGTTTCCAGCTACCTTTTAAGTTTATCTGCCTTCCTTGTAGTCTCTATTTTTGCAGCTTCAAGAGCTGGATTGGTTCAAGTTTCGTTTTCTTGGTTCTGCAACGTTTTTTGGGTTCTAGTGGTTTCAACCACAATTTTACCAGGAAGATCGGGTTCATTCTTTATCTTATCATCTTTCTTTTTTGGGTGCTGTCGTTTTGCAACCCTAGAATGTTATTAGTTTTTTTGTTACTGTTAGAATTAGGAAGCATTGGCTCGGAGGTTTTTTTTCTTCTTCACTACAGGAAAAATGTCAAATACCGGCGGTTTGCACCGGCGGTTTATGGACCGTCGGTATTACCGGCGGCGTCGTCAGCGGTCTAGCCGTCGGACTCTAACGACGGCCAAACCGGCGGCTTAGCTACGATACACCGCCGGTAATACCGACGGTCTATAAACCGCCGGACATCAATATGAACCGGCGGTTTACCGGCGGTCTAAACCGCCGTTGATAAGTGATTTTTTTTCCGGCGGTCCAGACCCCGGAAAACCGCCGGTAAAAGCCCTAATACGAGCCGCCTCGCTCCGCTCATTTCATTTTCACTCTTTCCTTCTCTCTCTCGGTCGCTCGCTGTACCGTGTCCTCCGCTCGTCCGATCAGCCCCCGACATGGTCAAAAGTTGTTGGTGGAAGACAGAGGGGGAGGGTATATGGCATGGGTTTAACCAGGCTTTTGCTAATTGAGGGCAGTTCATACATCCTCTGCAATTTTCATGATCCGTGGAGCTGAAGAATCTGTAGTGAGAGGGTTGCAACACTTACTAGAGAGATTTGAAGAGATGAAAAGGGTTCAGCTAAGAGAGATTGAAGAAATGAGAGAAGGCTCAGAAATGAATGCAAAGCAGAGTTGCTAATCCTACAGAGCTGGAAAAACACGATACCGGACGGACAAGAGTAAGCCGTCGGTTATAAATATTAAACCGTCGGGTAAATTACCGCGGTTACCGGACGGCCGCCCGGCGGTTCTACGATGGACACCCGACGGTTTAAAACCGTCGGTATATCGACAGCTATAACCGCCTTCCACCGCCGGTAAATTACCGCGGTCTAAACGGCGCCGTCCGGCGGTCTAACGAACCAGACGACGCTAGTTTTAAACCCGCCGGAAAACCGCCAGTAACGTGATCGGACGGCTTTTACCGGCGGTTACAATACCCGGCGGCCTAAACCGCCGGCAAACCGACGGTTAAGAATTCCGGTGGTTAATCGGCGTAAATTAACCGCCGGAAAACCGCCGCAAAAATAAACCGCCGGTAACCACGGCCGTCGGAAATGGTTTTGTCCCTACGCCATTTTTTCCGACGGTTTACAACGCGCCGTTAAAATATTAAACCGGCTGGTAAATTACCGGCGTTTACCGACGGCCGCGGCGTCTCGATGGACCCTCGACGGTTTAAACCGTCGGTATACGACGGCTATAACCAGCCGTCCACCGCCGGTAAATTACCGGCGGTCTAACCGGCGCCAATCCGGCGGTCTAACGAACCAGACGACGCCAGTTTAACGCCAAAAATCGCCACGA